TAGGGTAGATAAAGACAGTCTATTTAACACAAGGGGAACACGTACAAGGGGACACAGGTGGAAACTGAGTGCCCAAATGAGCCACAGAGATATTAGAAAGAATTTTTTTAGTGTCAGAGTGGTGGACAAATGGAATGCATTAGGAAGAGATGTGGTGGAGGCTGACTCCATACACAGTTTCAAGTGTAGATATGATAGAGCCCAATAGGCTCAGGAATCTGTACACCTGTTTATTGACGGTCGAGAGGCGGGACCAAAGAGCCAGAGCTCAACCCCCGCAAACACAACTAGGTGAGTACTAGGTGAGTACACCCAGCCACACACACCCACACACACACACACACATACAAGAGTGCTGGGAAGACAGGACACTATGAGCGTAGCTCTCATCCTGTAACTACACTTAGGTAATCTTAGGTAAACACACACACACACATAAGTCGGATATTAGGGAAGTTAAGTTGGAAGCCCCCTTGGGAATGAGTGATCACAGTGTATTGATCTTTGAGTACCTAGTAGAGCTAAGAATTATCTCCCCAAAAAAGAACTGGGAAACAAAGGGCTGGCATACCAAAAGGAAAATTATGAGAAGATGAGAAAAATCCTATGGGATATACCGTGAGACACAGAACTCACAACTAAGTCCGTACAAGACATGATGGACTATGTCACCCAGAAGTGTCAGGAGGCATTAAACAGGTTTATCCCGGCCCGACAGGAAAAAAACGAGAAGCAAACGAAGACTCCGTAGTTTGCAGGCGATGAGTCACAATAACGTGGCTGAAGTATGTTGACCAGACCACACACTAGAAATTGAAGAGACGACGACGTTTCGGTCCGTCCTGGACCATTCTCAAGTCGATTGTGATTGACCATTCACAATCGACTTGAGAATGGTCCAGGACGGACCGAAACGTCGTCGTCTCTTCAATTTCTAGTGTGTGGTCTGGTCAACACTCCGTAGTTTAATAAGGCATGTATGAAAGCAAAGGAACTGAACAAAAGGGCGTGGAGGAACTTCCAAAATAACAGAACACCAGAAAGCAGAGAGAAATACCAGAGAAACAGGAACGAGTATGATAGTGTGAGAAAAAAGCTGAGAAAAGCTATGAAAATGATATAGTTAATAAAACCAAGACCGACCTAAAGCTACTCCACAGTCACGTGGACTGTGAAGGAACAGTGAAGGAACAGGTGATGAAACTTAGAACGGGTGAGGTTAGGTACACAAAGAATGACAAAGATGTGTGTGAAGAACTCAACAAGAGGTTCCAGGAGGTCTTCACAATAGAATAAGGTGAGGTCACTGTGCTAGGAGACATGGCAGTAAACCAGGCGGCCTTGGAAGGGTTCAAAATTACAAGAAACGAGGTCAAGAGGGATCTGTTGGATCCGGACGTGAGAAAGGCTGTTAGCCCGGACTGAATATCACCATGGGTATTGAAAGAGTGTGCAAAAACACTTTACTTGCCACTCTCCATACTGTATATTAAGTCACTAGAGACGGCCGGGAGACCTACCAGAAATATGGAAGACGGCTAATGTAGTCCCAATATACAAAAAGGGTGACAGACAAGAAGCACTGAACTACAGGCCAGTGTCCTTAACTTGTATACCATGCATGGTGATGGAGAAGATCGTGAGAAAAAACCTAGTAACACATCTTGAGAGAAGGTATTTCTCGGGACACCATGAGCGTAGCTCTCATCCTGTAACTACACTTAGGTAATTACACTTGAGTAATTACACACACACTTTTAATTTCGACACTGATTAAGTTATTGATATTATTTTTAATATTTACACGAGTTTATAAGTATATAAATAACACAGCTGCTGTGGTGGTGGAGTTATACTTCTGATATGGGGTCTACAGTGCCTCGTTAAATGGTCTTTAATCATCTTAATACTCTCCTGATATACAGGTCATGGTGTGATTCTTACCAGGAGTTAACTGCCAGATCTGTGTTATGACTTCATCTTGTGACCCTATGTGACCCTGATTAGTGCCACTTGTGGCACTTCATAAACTCCCCTGACCACCACATGCTCACCAAGACCACGATCCCTCAGGCAATTGTCCACTTATTAAACCTGTACATCTTTTCTCAATTATGGCGGCTTATGTTGCAATGATTAAACAGTTTGTGAGTTTGGAAGCGCTATGAGGGGGTCCGTCTAATTACCACAAGCTACACAAAGCTTCAGAAAGCTTCAGAAAGCTTCCTGGCAATACGTTAGTAATGAATAAATATGATATGTTAGGTTAGGCTGACCTAACCTAAACTAACCTAACCTAACCTAACCTAACCTAACCTAACTTAACCAAACCAAACCTAACCAAACCTAACCAAACCTAACCTAACCTAACCTAACCGACGCTTGGATCGTCGACTTTATTTGGTGTCACCAGCTCTTTATTTTCGTCTAATTTCTTAATAAAAATATACTTTTTCAGATTAAAATTATGATTTCTCGTGTTGTACATTCAGCACCAACATTATAATGAGTAAATATATCATATTTATTCATTACTAACATATTGCCAGGAAGCTTTGTGAAGCTTGTGCAGCTTGTGGTAATTAGACGGACCGCTGCGGGGTCATCTATCACAATAATAACCTTGTGTTGTGAAGTTTTCAAGCTCGTAAACTGTTTATTAAATTCCTACTAACCCGCCATGACCAGGGTAAGGTGTACAGGTTTCGTAAGTGGACGTGTAAATGCATAGTGAATCCTGTGACCGAACACTGGGACCGAAGTAGTACAGCTTTCAGATGGTCCGTCTAATTACCAAAAACTACCACAAACTACACAAACTTCAGAAAGCTTCCTGGCAATACGTTAGTAATGAATAAATATGATATATTTACTCATTATAATGTTGGTGCTGAATGTACAACACGAGAAAACATAATTTTAATCTGAAAAAGTATCTTTTTATAAAGAAATTAGACGAAAATAAAAAGCTGGTGACGCCAAATCAAGTCGACGATCCAAGCTTCGGTTCGGTTAGGTTAGGTTAGGTTAGGTTAGGTTAGGTTAGGTTAGGTTAGGTTAGGATAGGTTAGGATAGGTTAGGTTAGGTTAGGTTAGCCTAACTTAATATATCATATTTATTCATTACTAACGTATTGCCAGGAAGTTTTCTGAAGCGTGTGTAGTATGTGGTAGTTTTTGGTAATTAGACGGACCCCTTCCCCCAAACCTGCTGGGCCCCAGGGCTGAGGTCTGGCTGGTCTCATGCCCCTTAACTCCTCCATCACCAGTTCATGACAATTAAGGCTTTCCTGAAACAAGATATATAAATATATTTGTTATTTTCACTTGTAGAACCAATGCTAGAATTGATGTCGATATTCATTGAAATTAGTTAACCCATTGATGACACTTTATCTAATCAATTACATTTACTGTATTTATTTAACTAGCAAATATAATGCAGCTTCTTGAGTGAGAAATTTAATAGCATAATAGACCCACGTCTTGTAGCATGAGGTATAGGCAGCTAGGTCCTATACTGTATGTAGTGTAGCCATATTTTGTAGCATGATTTATAGGCAGGGTCCTATATAGTGTAGCCATGTTTTGTAGCATGAGGTATAGGTAGGGTCCTATATAGTGTAACTATGTCTTCTAGCATGGGGTATAGGCAGGGTCCTATATAGTATAACCATATTTTGTAGTATGGGGTATAGGCAGGGTCCTATATAGTGTAGCCATGTTTTGTAGCATGAGGTATAGGTAGGGTCCTATATAGTGTAACTATGTCTTCTAGCATGGGGTATAGGCAGGGTCCTATATAGTATAACCATGTCATGTAGCATGAGGTATAGGTTGGGTCCAATATAGTGTAGCCATGTCTTGTAGCATGAGGTATAGGTAGGGTCCTATATAGTGTAACTATGTCTTCTAGCATGGGGTATAGGCAGGGTCCTATATAGTATAACCATGTCATGTAGCATGAGGTATAGGTTGGGTCCAATATAGTGTAGCCATGTCTTGTAGCATGAGGTATAGGTAGGGTCCTATATAGTGTAACTATGTCTTCTAGCATGGGGTATAGGCAGGGTCCTATATAGTGTAGCCATGTCTTGTAGCAGGAGGTGTATGCAGGATCATATATGGTGTAACACTGTCCGGAAGCATGAGGTATGGGCATGGTCCTATATAGTGTAACCATGTCTTTTAGCTCTATTATCCTGTATAGGGTAGCAATGTCTTCTAGCAGGAGGTATATGGAGGGTCCTATATAGTGGGGGCCATGTCCTGTAGCATGAGGTCTAGGCAGGGTCCTCTATAATATAGCATAGCCATGTCTTGTACCATGACAGGGTCCTATATAATGTAGCCATGTCCTGCAGCATGAGGTCCAGGCAGGGTCCTCTATAATATAACATAGCCATGTATTGTACCATGACAGGGTCCTATATAATGTAGCCATGTCCTGCAGCATGAGGTCCAGGCAGAGTCCTCTATAATATAGCATAGCCATGTCTTGTACCATGACAGGGTCCTATATAATGTAGCCATGTCTTGTAGCAGGAGGTATGGGTAGGGACCTATATATATAATATATATATACAGGACTGACAGCTGAATATTGAGACATTGGGCTTTACATAATTCTAGGGAAAACAGCTGATTGTTCATTAATCAATTGCCAGATTTAGTAATACTGTATTATACATTTGTTTTTAGACATTGTTCAGTGTGATGCTTTATTAACAGCTAGCCATGTTACTGTACTTCAGTCATATATGAAGCTATTTCTAATGTGACATTTTCAAGTTTGGAAATACAGTATATGCTATTTCACAGTGAAACCACAACAGCTTTATATACCTTTGAGAAACTATTGAGGTCGTGTAATGGGATCCGACCCCATGAAGCCTGGCGAGTTTAGGGACGTGGGTTTGATCCCATCACATAGCCTCAATGTTTTCATATTTATATTTCTTTTTAATCATGGTGTTTAACACTGCCTTGATGTGCAACAGCTGGAGATGGATTGGGATGATGAAGCTTTTCTTGAAGACGAGTTTACTGACGTTCTTGAGGAGGAAGATGAGGACACGGAGGTAGCGCAGTTTGCCAGCACCAACAGTAACTTTACTCATGAGGTTAGTTTCTTAATCTTATATGGACTATAATCTCTACCTTAATCTGCGAGCAAGGTTACTGAGTTTAATCCAAGGTTAATTTAATAAGGAGTTTGATCAGAAATCTATATGAGGTGCCTAATAAGCTAATTAAATACTGTAATTTTAATGAAAGTTCCTGACAAGTTATGCTACGGAAATCTGTGTTCGGAGAGTCCCTAGAACAAGGAATGTCGTCTAGAACTTACACATGCATAAACGTCCTTCCAGTCATCAATAAAGCTAGAAATGTTTCTCAAATTCAATTTCATTAAAATTTATTAATTTTATTCACAATTAGAAGTACTTTTAATTGTCTTGACAAAGTTTGACAAAGTTGACAGAGTTTTAAATACAGTATGTACCTTTTTAAATTTATACAAGAAATAAGTACAGTAATACTAATTACATAACACTCATCAATAAAATTATTCATTATATTTAATAAAACAATGCCAGCTAAAGAAATGATTATTAATAAATTAAAAAGATAATGCAAGGAATAGTTGTTTTAATTTCTATGGGGAGCCCTTACAGCTCCCTGGAGCTTACCAGGCTGATATGTATGTTTTAGACAATGGCAACAATCAATGGAGTTCTTGCCTACCAGGGACTATGAGCCAGGTTACTCGGCTTTTCATCCTACCTGATATGTTAGATTAAGGACCTGCCTGAAATGCTATGGGTGTTAGTGGCTTTGCAAGAATGTAAAAATGCCAATCTTGTGTAATCTCACATACCCATTGTACCTTTGTTACGGCCCTCTCGGGACGCAACGGGGTTCTTGCTCTGATGTTGTTAGAGGAAGATATATGTATCCGTTCCCAAGCCAGTAGAGGCTTTCAAGGGATGTGATCCGTGACGCAAGTAACTAAAAGGGAGTAGGGAAAGAAAGCTAAGAACTTAATATAATATAATGTTCACCATCACCGTTTCAATATATATAATAAAAGAGTACACAAAGGGGGGGGGGGGTATTAACACTTTGCAAAGGGGATCGTGCACAATCTAGTCTTCTGCTGAAGACTCTTGATCAAGAAGCTAGGTGCCGAGTCCGCGGTGCTTTCTTCGTGGCCTCAAGACGTGTCCTCTGAGAACGCCGAGCCTACCCTGGCCACAGGTCAGCCACAACACAGGTCCACTGGGGGCACCGTCGTGGAGGCCGTCAACCACACGTCCAGCAGGTCTGCTGGCAGGTACTGAGCCACCAAGGCTGGTACGGCCACTCCACGAACGATATAAGGGGTACGCCCTAGACAGGAGTCTCTTGTGATATCACAAATCACCCTCCTGTCTTCAATACCCCAGTGGATTATCGTCTCCAACCGTCGGCCCCGGGTAAATCCTTTCACTGCCACTCCACTGGCAGGCTTAACACACCACAGTGTTCTTCCGGGGGGGACGACGTCACAACAGCTGTAGCAAACTTCACAGTATGGAGACTGGCTGCCTCGGGTAGACTGACTCCACCTTCAACACAGTGGTCCCAGGTCGACTCTGTAAACAGACACGTCATCAATAACTGGGACACTAATACACCACACTCACAGGCTAGGGCACAAACACCTGACGTATCCAGTCCATAGATGGCGCTGTCGTCGGAGCACCACCTCACCAGAGGTCAGGAGCGGCGGTGTTGAGCGCTGAACCAGACTGGAAACTGGTCCTCGAGGCCAGTACACGCTGTCCTCACTAGGTGTCGTCGTTCGTTTGGCGGGGGTTTCGGGAGCTGACCCACAGATGGCGTGTTTGTCACTGCTCCAGGCTCGGACGCTGGATCCGGGTTCGTAACAACCTTCTTGTAAATAAATATTATTATTATATTATTATTATGTGGCACAATTAGGTGAGTACACAAACACACACGTACATATCCACAGGCATATACACATAACGTATACATATATACACAAAATGGCCATACACTATATATATACCTGTACAGTGTTAATGTTATATTTATCTCCCCAAGGTGGACAATCTGATGGACAACAGCATAGAGATTGAGTCTAACAAGCGAATGCGGGCCGAACACATGCATCCCATCACTCTGACCTTCAAGGACCTGGAGATGGAGGAGATGTACCACCAGGTCCGTGCCGACCTACTTAAGAGCAACGTTGTCTGCACCTGCATCATCTGGGTCCTTATTGTCATCTGTCAGTCCATTGTAGTCCAGGAGTAAGTTCATGGGGGGATTCTGTTACCCATTACTGTCATGTTGTCTTGTGAGTAATCTACAATTTATAATACAGATTATGAAGCCGGTACAAAGTCGGTACAGACCGTCACAGTGTTATGACTGGTATATAAGGTGGCTTACCAGCCCGTACTCTTACAACATCCTACCGGCTGCTTGAATACTAATATTTACCTGAATTTACCTGGGGAGGCCACTTTTGCTATACTGTAATATTGCTAACAATATATTTTAACAGATTCGAAATTATGCTGCATCTAAAATTTCATTGTTAATATTCTTACAACCTTGATGTATGCATACCTTAGAGATAAATCTCCTGTATGCACTAGACAAACTAGAAATATGAATAGAATTGTTATGCCCTTATAAGTTAATGGATTTTAGAAAAATATAGGAAATTATGAATGTACATCAATATCACTGTCTTTGTCTTGACTATATAAATGACCAAAACAAGAAAATGGCCTCTATAGAAAAAAAATTGTCCCATAAATTATTATAATTTTTTGTTGTAGTATGATATACTTCTGTGTATAGATAATGTTATGGGAAATAAATTATCAGGAGAAAGTGCTGATAATTTCCTTCCTATTATATATTTTCTAATTTTCTTGTTATATCTATGAAAATATATTCAGTTGGCTTTCCATTAAGTATCTGATTACCATTCCAGTGTGGAAGTGTTGCTGGCACCGTTCTTGCCTGCAACCATACTCCTTGCAGTAGGTCTGTTGCTGGTGATGGCGGAAGAGTTCCCTCTCCTGCCTGTAGGCCTACGGCGGATCTCGACTCGTCTTGCACGAGCAACTTTTGGCAGGAAGGCCTTCATCTGTGCTCTAATGGCTGTTATATCTGTGCCATCTATGATTACTCTGGTAGGTGGACCTTAATCTATGCTCTCCCTCTCGACTGTGATAGACCATCAATGCTCTACAGAAGAAAGATCATGTGGAAGTTTCCGTCATGGGGGAGACTACAAATTTCTTTCTTAATATTTGTAAAACTAACATTACATCCTTATTAATGTTTGGTAAGATAGAAAGTAAGGTTGTTCAATAAAACATTAGTGTTAAATTCTGGCTGAACCAATTTCAGGAAGAGGGAGTGATGAACAGACACACAATAATGTTATTCTTAGTTAAGCATATTTCCATTTGAATTTTACATTAGATATATTTTAGCTGTATTTTAATCACATTGAAATGTATTGAGCTAGTTTTTGAGTCCATTACACTTTTGTCTTTGGATTAGAGACCATTTAAGACAAATTCAATTTTTGCTTTTGATCTCAATTAGTATTAAGTTTTAGTCAAGAACTTCTAACAAAACCTGGAAAAGTATTATTTCATAACAAAAATAGCTGGGGGTATTAATTAATCATAACTCAATGTTTCCAATGAAAACAATCGGTATTTTTATTCTGGATAAAATTTTAAACTTTTGGAAATAGTATTTTTATTTTGAAAATGTATTTTGTAATATTGCAGTGTTCTAACATCAAATTTTCCTTTCAGATCCTGGTTAATGCAGACTGCAACGACTCTACAAATATCTCCCAAATTACTCAGGTGTACACAACAAGCGAGGAGTCGTCGAGAATGCAGGTGACGAGTGACCCAGGTCTGGCAGGACCTCTTCAGGCACTTCAGGCACTGAGTGGTGACACTCCTCTTCTGGTGGAGGATGATGATAGTGTCATCGAGTTCCCTTCATCCTTGTTAAAGGAACCAAAACTTAGTGCTTTACAAAGCAAAAGTATTAGAAATGGTAGAAACTTTTATCGTACAACTTTTGATCAAAATTTTCAAATTATAAGTACTTCTAATATTCATTCTGAAAGTATTGATTATTTAGATAGTGTGGAGAAAAGTAATATAGTGCACAGACAGGAAAATATACACAAACTTTCAGATTCTACTGAAACATCAATTCATAAAAAGATCATTGTTAAAAGATCAGCAGAGAGTGTTTTTGTTAAGAATACACCCCCAAGATTACCCAGCTTAGACTCACTAGTCAAGTTCTTAAATAGAACCCAATATTCTCTAAGTGCAAAAAAGCTTCATAATCTCTTTTGTGCCAAATTAACAGCCAAAAGAGTACCCATACAAATCACAAACCAATTAAACAATAGTTATAATATTGAATTAAGAACTAGAGTGCGTCGCCATAGTGAAAAAAAGTTAATCAAAGTTAATATTGACAATAAAAATGTACACAGTACAGGAACCTATGATAATCAAGTGAATAAGTCAAGGGATAATAGTGTAAAAGAAAGTAATCCTTTGGACTTGGCCAATGTTGCTTATGAGAGCCTGAGTGCGGACAATCAATCTGTGATATACAGCGAGCCGAGCAAGCTGCACTTGTGTCTGTACCCTCAGTACTTCATATACACCTGGGTCCTGAGTATGGTTGCCCTTGCTTCTTACCTCAAGCTAAATTATTTGGTCAAGACAGTAGTCTTGGTCTTTATGGTAACCTGCTACGGCTTCCTCATCATTAAGTTTAGCTCAATCTTCGATCCCGTACACAGGTAATGTGAAGGAAACTGTCAATGTGTGTTTGGGGCCTTAGTCATGATACTTAATATAGAAGGCGCCATCATAATGTGCCCCAGTAGGCAAAATAACCCCTCCTCCCTGGGAGAATCTGGGCAAGTGATGTTGATGTAGCAATGAATCAACATTGATTTAATGTTATTTAATGTTATTCGAGCATATGTTCCCCCTAGGTATGCTTGGGCAACATTAAATCAACAGTATCAACATTGATTCATTTTTACATCAGAGTTTGTTTCCAAGATTTGCCAGAGGAGCGACGTGGTGCTAGTGTACACACTGTTCTTCCTCATGACTTTCTTGCTTAACGCTGAAAAGGTATATTATCACTTAGTTTATTTGTAAGTTTAGGTTTTGGTATTATATTGTTAACATCCTGGGCATGAGTGTTTGTAAGAATATAGGACTATGAATGTGGAGACCCATCACTACCAACTCATTGCCATAAATAGTAATTACTTAACTATAATTATATTTTTACGTTATTACATCATTGTAATAAGATTAATAACCATTGTGGTTACATTGTATATATGCTCAGAAAAGATCACATGGAATCATATTGGAGGAGAGTGGAATTTTAAATTTCATTATTTATATTAAATATCTTGACAAAGGATCAGTTTAATAAGCCACACGTTAGAACAATGTCTCTGCTCAGGAACAACAGGGAAACAGTGTCTCATACTCTCCCAACATTTCTGTCATCTTTGTAATTTCAGTGGTGAATATTTGCTTTTAATTTACATTAGTCTGATTTAATTTAATACTGCTAACCACAAAGTTATGTTAAGACTGTTGTATTCACTGTTATACACTGTGTATAACACAATGTAATTAGTTTAGTTTTTTAGTTTAGTTCATTTATTATGCACCCCATACCCATCTTGTGGGCGGTAGTGGAAAGGGTTACAGAGGCACATAATGGGCTCAGGGACTGAACCCCACAACAATGTAATTACTGTACAACTTTTTAACATTATTTTAACTTTATGAAGAGAAGCATTGGAGGTAGAATTTCTGGGGCATTCTTGCTATCCTCTTCTTATTCCTATTAATATCCCCTTCTCATTGGGTGGTTATAAATAGGAGCTTCCTTGTATGGGCCAATGGGCCTTCTGCAGTTCTTATTCCTACTACTATCCCCTCTACTACACCTTACCTTTCGTACCTTTTGCCTTGCTCCTCACCTCTCTCTTGCCTATTTATTGTCTTCATCTCCTTCCCTCATCACAATCGACTTGAGAATGGCTCCCTGAAGAATCGGGGAGCCTCCGGGGCTCACCAAGAAACTTCCGTTTCATTACATTAAACGCTGGTTTTATGCATTCTAGTATTCTACCATTTATTCCATGAGCCTATAATTTCTTTGCTATTCTTTCACGTGATACCTTATCAAAAGCTTTAGCAAAGTTCATGTGTACTCCATCTAATGGAAGTCCTTTGTCTGAATAGCTGGTTACCATTTCCAAAAATATGAGCAGATTTGTAAGGCAGAATCTAGTCTTAACAAACCCATGTTGTGTTGCTGTGACAAGATTGTTAACTGAGATGGTGAATGATTCCCTCCCTTAGGATTCTCTCCATGAGCTTGCAGATGTGTGAGGTCAAGCTGATCAGATGGGTTTTTTCTGCTGAGGTCTTTTCTGCCTTTTTTGAAATTAGGGGTGACATGAGTGTACTGTTACTTAAGGGGAGACTTACTAAATGCTGAAGTGTACTGTAAGGTAAACCTGTCTTTACATCCTGGCTTATATTTCTAACTTTCTAAATTGTTACTAGAAATCCAATCACTATTCATAATAGTATAGATCCAATTCCCAAATTACACATTTACACATAGATTAATTTGTTTTGCCAGAAAATTCTTATTAACATGAGTAAAGAATAATTCAACATTTATTTTTTCAGTGGGATTTCCTTACCTTCCAGAATGGCGGTACTCCTTGTGCTATTTTTCTTTATGGTGTCATACCACGGCCGTCTGGTGGAGATCACCTCACGACTCGACTTTGTATGGAAGCAGCAAGCCTTACGGGAGCTCACAGACATGAGTGAATGCCGCTTATATAATACCCAGCTCCTTAAGAATATTCTTCCGGACCACGTGGCCAATTATTTTCTCTCAGAAGATCGGAAAGGAGAGGTAAGAAAATTAATACAATCTTAGGTAATCAGATTTTGTTTTTCTCTTTCAACACACTGACTAATTTTTTGTTTGAGTCTTGTGAACCTAGTTTCACGTTTGTAAAGCTTCGCTGACTTTTTCGATGCTTTCCCAGTGAAATGGCAGAATGTCATTTGCCCCCTCGTGAGGGGGGCCAGATTTTGGCTCTGGTCCCCAGTAGACCATATGAACTCATGCAGCTGATGTGACTGGTAGATTGGAGCAATGTCGGTGAGATATCTACAAGGAGCCACCGGGCCTAACCAGGAAGAGGAGAGTCATTGCATTCAATGCTGGGTTTTTGTCTGGTTCTTGTAAAATTTTAATTTTAATGATATTTCAGTGAAGACTTATTAAAACTTGTTAAGAACTAAACTACTTAGGAATCTTGTTCTACTTTTTTGTTAAAGATATATTAACATTTGAAACCTATTTATTTCTTCATGTTTTTTCAGGAACTCTTCTCAAAAGCCTACGACAATGTTGGGGTGCTGTTTGCATCAATACCAAATTTCACACAGTTTTACTCGGAGGATGTTAATAGAGGGATGGAATGTATTAGACTTCTTAATGAAATTATAGGTAAGCTATTTGATCATCCCGTCCCCTTAAAATTACGTCGCTTTTCACTCATATGCACACTATGGCCAAAAATAGATGTAATTTGAAATTAAATCGGCTCACGAAAGTGATGTACTGTCTCGTTTTCTGTTTTGAGTCCTCCAGCTTACTCGGCTAGGTTAGGAGAGGACACTTTCAATTAACAGTTTTCATCATGTTTTGAAACCTTAGGAGAACCTCTTGCCCTCCTAACCTACCAGAGGACCCTGCTTTGGAGAAAAAAATCCAAATTTATTTTCAATTATTTTTCATTTTCAAATTATGTTCATTTTTGGCCATACGGGCAGTTAGTTTAGTTCATTTATTATGCACCCCATACCCATCTTGTGGGTGGTAGTGGAAAGGGTTACAGAGGCACATAATGGGCTCAGGGACTGAACCCCACAATTCATTTAGCTAAGCAAGTTAAAATCTTGATGAGCTAGTTACAAAATTCAATATAACTCGTCACATCAACAATGGGTTCGAGATCGACCTCAAGTACAGGTTTTAAATTAAGCAATTGACATATGTGGAGAGCTAGTGTCACAATTTATATGTTTGTCCTGCACACCGCCCCCCATCCAGTGGGCAGCGGTGGATAGGTTACAATCACTCAGTTACTACCTACAGTTAGCAAACTGGGAATATTTGGCTAAAATTTCTGGTAGCAGATCATTTTGAATGAAATATTTACACATCGCTGGAACATTGGTTATAGAATTGTCTCTAAATTCACATATCTTTTCGCACTCCATCACATAGTGACGGAGGGTGTGCGAATAATTTTGTTGACACAGTTTACATTTGGTCAGGTCTACATCAGCAGGTAATGAGAATTCCCAGAGATACTTGTAACCGAGTCTAAGCCGAGCAGTAGTAACATCTAGAAGTCTGCTGATTTTATTGGATGATCCATAGATGTGTGGCTCCTCTTGCATGATAGTATGATGATAAATGGAATTACTGGTGTCAATTTCACTTTGCCTCAGATCTACAAGATCTTGTTGAAGTTCTCGGTGTACTGTTGCTCTCAGATTGCTCATTGACAATCCAAGGTTACACTCAACGGCTCCTTTAAAGTCAGATTCTTTGGCTAACTTATCAGCTCTATCATGCATTCGGAGGCCAACATGAGATGGAGATCACATGAAATGGACTCTGTTACCATCCTTAATAATTTTGTTGTATTTGTGTCTAGCTTCGGACACGAGCATGTTACAGTTATGTCTTAAAGAGTTGAGAGCATTTAAGGATGATAAGGAGTCACTTACAATTAATGTATCAAGTTTGGAGACTTGTACACATACGGGCAAACGGCCAAATTCAGACGTAATTTGTAAGAGGACCGGTTGATTTCATACATGTTTAATATAATTTAATTTAATAATTCCAGTTTCCTACCACACTCTCCATATCTCTGTCCGTAACTAGTACAATAGCCTTTAGTGATTTTCACATTTTGTGAAAAATCATAATATTATATTCCTCTTCTGGTTACATTACCATTCCGTATATGGAACATTGTTCAGTGAATTTTAGGGATTTAGCTAAATTGTGTGACTGACAATTATTTTTGTTTGAACCTGACTCAAGTCAGTGACGGGCAATGAACAAGCTGATGAGGCAGCCAAGTCTTGATCAGGTCCTGGTCAACTGGTCCTGCCTCTTCATAAATTTTGTCTAGGGATTTGAACTGCAGTATGTGCTTCTTAGCAGCAGTCTTGGAACAGCAGCACTTTAGGTCCTAACAAAACATTGCATGTGGTTGAGTAGATGTTGGACAGTGTTACCTGGTGGATACCTGGTTGATGGGGTTCTGGGAGTTCTTCTACTGCCCAAGCCCGGCCCGAGGCCAGGCTTGACTTGTGAGAGTTCGGTCCACCAGGCTGTTGCTTGGAGCGGCCCGCAGGCCCACATACCCACCACAGCCCGGTTGGTCCGGCACTCCTTGAAGGAAACAATCTAGTTTCCTCTTGAAGATGTCCACGGTGGTTCCTGTAATATTTCTGATGCTCGCTGGTAGGACGTTGAACAACCGTGGAGTGTTGTGTTGCCAGTTTGAATGCTATACATCTATATCTAAAAGGTTTTAATTATGTTCGGATGTTAGAAAATGTTATTCAAATGTTAGACGTAAGTCTAGATGATTTTTATAGAATCTTAGATATTCTAAGACGATTTTATCAAATTTGTATGTGAACAGATATTTGTAAGTCTCCAACTATGCTATTGTATGTTTCTCTTTTTTTTTTTCACTGGTCAATTTGTTTTCTGTGGAGAGCCCCTCCGGCTCCCCGGCACTTACTGGACTGATATGTATGTATTAGCCCGTGGCATCAGTCAATTCAATTGGAGTTCTATGCCTACCAGGGACCATGAGCCAGAACCTGGCCTCCTCAGAGAGGCAAGAGTAGCAATGGCCTATAGAAACCCCTATGTTCAAAATAATTTTGTAGGAACTTTGATCCTTGGCATCAGAGTATGTACTGTACATGTACTATATAAATAATACAGTCTCCGTGGTGTAGTGGTAAGACACTCGCCTGGCGTTCCGCGAGCGCTATGTCATGGGTTTGTATCCTGGCCGGGGAGGATTTACTGGGCGCAATTCCTTAACTGTAGCCTCTGTTTAACGCAACAGTAAAATGTGTACTTGGATGAAAAAACGATTCTTCGCGGCAGGGGATCGAATTCCAGGGACCATAGGATTAAGGACTTGCCCGAAACGCTACGCGTACTAGTGGCTGTACAAGAATGTAACAACTCTTGTATATATCTCAAAAAAAAAAAAAAAATTATGAAAATTGAAAGCACACAGTCAAAATTTTTGCTCAATCATTTCGTTACAAGGATGAAGTAAATTTGACAGTAGTGTTTTGCTTCCTGATCAGTTAATGAATTTTGGTTGTAATAATATTATGAACCTCTGTTCTTTGTGAGATAATAGTTCCCTAATTCACATTAAAATGTTCTTCTGAATGCAAGATCCTAGTGATGTGCTTCCTTTATTTTGTGATGTGCTTCCTTTATTTTGTGATGTGCTTCCTTTATTTTGTGATGTGCTTCCTTTATTTTGTGATGAGCTTCCTTTATTTTGTGATGTGCCTCCTTTATTTTGTGATGTGCTTCCTTTATTTTGTGATGAGCTTCCTTTATTTTGTGATGTGCTTCCTTTATTTTGTGATGAGCTTCCTTTATTTTGTGATGAGCTGCCTTTATTTTGTGATGTGCTTCCTTTATTTTGTGATGAGCTTCCTTTATTTTGTGATGAGCTGCCTTTATTTTGTGATGAGCTTCCTTTATTTTGTGATGAGCTTCCTTTATTTTGTGATGTGCTTCCTTTATTTTGTGATGAGCTTCCTTTATTTTGTGATGAGCTGCCTTTATTTTGTGATGAGCTTCCTTTATTTTGTGATGTGCTTCCTTTATTTTGTGATGTGCTTCATTTATTTTGTGATGTGCTTCCTTTATTTTGTGATGAGCTTCCTTTATTTTGTGATGTGCTGCCTTTATTTTGTGATGAGCTTCCTTTATTTTGTGATGAGCTTCCTTTATTTTGTGATGTGCTTCCTTTATTTTGTGATGAGCCTTGTGCTCATGTGAAGCACAAATTCATGTTCTCATACAAACTCTTTAACTAGCTGACTTCGACGAGCTCTTGGATGAAGACCGCTTTACATGTATAGAAAAAATCAAGACCATTGGCAGCACATACATGGCAGCATCTGGACTTAACCCCACTGAAAAGGTCAGTACCCGAGTTTTGTTTAGCCTCTGAAAATATTTTATGTAGAGGATGGCACATACTAAATATATTATAAATATTCCATTAGTACCTCGTAGGGTCTCATTAGCCTAATTCAATTAGGGTCTCGTAGCCTGGTGGATAGCGCGCAGGACTCGTAATTCTGTGGCGCGGGTTCGATTCCCGCACGAGGCAGAAACAAATGGGCAAAGTTTCTTTCACCTTGTATGCCCCTGTTACCTAGCAGTAAATAGGTACCTGGGAGTTAGTCAGCTGTCACGGGCTGCTTCTTGGGGGTGGAGGCCTGGTCGAGGACCGGGCCACGGGGACACTAAAGCCCCGAAATCATCTCAAGATAACCTCAAGTACCACTTTCTTATTTATTTATTTATTTATTCATATACAAGAAGGTACATTGGGTTTATGAGAGTACAGAGCATTGAAGTTTTAGATTCTTGTAAAGCCATTCTTGTATGAATTAAGCTTGTAAATTATAACTACAGTATGAGCCCAGTAATATGTAAGAACTAAGGAACCTGCAGCAGGCCTATTGGCTCATATGAGGCAGCTCCTATTTATATCCACAAACTCATTTATATATATACTTTGTATATGGAAAGAATAAGTCACAATAACATGGGTTAAAACAAATAACTCAACCCATACCTAAGAAACGGAACGAAAGCAACGTTTCGGTCTGCCCTGGACCCTTACAAGTTGATAAGGCCTTGGATGGGCTGAAACATCGTCACTTTCATTTAATTTGTGTGGGGGTTTGATTATTTATATATATGTCTAACCTACAATTTAAACAATGAAATGATCCCATATCTATTATGTTACCTGGAAACTGCTTTAAACTGCTTCCTGGGATTCTTTCTGGTATACCTGTATTTGCAACATTTTTCCTCTTTAGGTGCTATAAGTTGAAGTGATAACTATTTATCCATTCCCTCAAGATCTTGTAATGTGGATAAAGGATGCTTATTTAAATTAAAAAGAGCTAGGACAAGAGAGAGGCTTGGTCATAGACTGTGCTGCAAGGACACTGATCCTTCAAATCTCCAAAAGGTAGACATCGGTGGAAGCTGAATATGCAATTGAGTTGAAGAGATGTTAGGAAGTTCTCATTCCCTGTACAGGTGATAGGAAAGTGGAATGCATTGAAAGATTTGGTTGCTGAAGCCAGTTCTATCCACAATTAAAAAAAAGTATGATGAAATATTAAGAGGGGTAAGTAGTATGCCAGTCATAAATGGCTAAGAGGTGAGGGCATAAAAAACTAGATTTCACTCCCCCTGTAGCCACTGATAAGTAAACACCAGTTTTCCATCTCTTCACCTTCTCTACTCTTCACCACTTTCCCCTTCATCATTTAACTATCTTCAATGTACATTGTCTTCATCAATAAAAGACTAACACATCCATGTTAAAAATTATATGCTTAATAAATCTTGAAAGGATGGAGTCTGATATTTAGCATGATAAACAAAGTACAGTAGTAGGTTTGGAACTTACACCAATTATGTTGGGGAGGGAGGGGAGGTCACTACTGGGCCCAACCTCCCCTCTTAATAGGACTAATACTGCAGGACTGACTCCAACCAGCCAATGTTTGTGTTGTACCCCAGCCTTTTCACCCTGCAAAGTTTGGTGAAGCTAGCCCAAAGTATCTAGCCTTCAACCTTTGACAGATGACAGACAGTCTCTCCTATTGATGTAGATGGTATTAGTGATGTAGACAACAATTTTGACCAATGGTCTACCTTCAGGACAATGAAGACAGCCATGCACACCTCTGTGCCCTTGTGGACTTCGCCCTGGAGATGAAAGCTCGCCTTGAAGAAGTCAATAAGCATTCCTTCAATAACTTCAGGTTGAGAGTGGGTACGTATGTTCCAGATAGATATCTATGCTATTGACTCATTTCTGGGGTTTGTTTTAGTTTCATTAGGATATATCAAGAAAGCCTAATAAGATCGTTGCCAAAATTATTTATGTTTATAATATATGTGTATATACAGTACATGCATAATATATATGTATGTATGCATGTATAATATATATATGTGTGCATACATGTGTTAGGATTAAGGTATGTATAAGATTAATGTCACTTGAGATAGGTTCGTAATGTTAAGATCCAATGCGCATTTGTATTCGTGGCACCTTTACCCAGTGATGTTATTGTTTGTTGTCGTTGTAATAAACGCCATGTAGAGCGCATGTTTGTTTCTCTTCCTGCTGAAGCATAACAACATGTATAATACATATGTATGTATACATGCATAATATATATATGTATACATGCATAATATGTATGTATACATGCATATATACGTACATATGTGTGTAAATCACAAAAATTAACACGTGATAAAAAATGTGACAGTGTCAGACCACGAAGGAAGAATTGAAACAGGAATTTCCTTACGTACTTTCGTATTTAATAATACATCTTCAGAAGAGTGGACCCATATTACCCTTTCAGAAGGGTAATAAGATGACTCTTTGGACCATCTTCAATATAATCGTAAGTTGGTAGCTTAGAGCACACCAAGGAGTTTGTGAACTCTTAATAATTATCATTGTGGTAACAAATGTATATTCATTATTATTCTTTTTCTCTTTTTAAATTACTCGTCTGTTTCAGGTATCAGTCATGGGCCCCTGGTAGGAGGTGTCATTGGGGCCAAGAAGCCTGTGTTTGATGTCTGGGGCAACACTGTCAATGAGGCATCTAGGATGGACACCACGGGTGCTAGCGACACCATACAGATACCCAAGGAGACAGCACAGGTTAGTTCCTTTTGTTGACTTGTGTTAATGGTGGTCGGTAGGTAAGTGTGATGGCCTCATAATACTTTACATTCAATGTCTTTACCACTAAATATGATACTCACGGGAAAACCGCCCTTAAATCATTCATATGCATTGGCACCTCACTAAAACGTAATTCACGCATAATTACTGTACATTTGTTAATAAAAGCTTTCCTGCATGCTAAAATCTTTATATTAATCCAGTCCTTGGTAGTTGGTTCCTCTGTTGCACTTCAGCCATCCAATTGGCTAGGCTAATGCAAAGATCTTGCCTGTAACAAATCTTTTATGTACAGAAACACCATTGAATCTTGCCTAATCAGCTATGGTGATAATACATAAAATATTAGAATATATATGTATGTATGTATATATATATATATATATATATATATATATATATATATATATATATATATATATATATATATATATATATATATATATATATATATATATATATATATATATATATATATATATATATATATACATATATATATATATATACATATATATATATATATATATATATATATATATATATATATATATATATATATATATATATATATATATATATATTATTAAATATGACCGAAAAAGTAAGATTAATAATTCTAACACGAATTTTCTCAATCTTTTGTACATTTCTTTTCACTGTTGGAGGTAAATAAAAAATCAATTCTCCAAAATTCATTTTTATTTCTAGTCTGACGCAACACGAGCGCGTTTCGTAAAACTTATTACATTTTCAAAGACTTTAGTTCACAAATACACAACTGAATAGAACTTACGCATCTCCGATTTTATATCTACATTTGAGTGAGGTGGAAGGGGTGATGTGGCATTAACACAAGATAGAACAAGAGGTGGCATTAATAGGGTATTAATTTCATCAACACAAGACAGAACAAGAGGTGGTATTAATAGGGTATTAATTTCATCAACACAAGACAGAACACGAAACAATGGGTATTGAATAGAAGTGTTTGTAGAAAGCCTATTGGTCCATATTTCTTGATGCTTCTATATTGGAGCGGAGTCTAGAGGTGGGTAGAATATAGTTGTGCAATAATTGGCTGTTGATTGCTGGTGTTGACTTCTTGATGTGTAGTGCCTCGCAAACGTCAAGCCGCCTGCTATCGCTGTATCTATCGATGATTTCTGTGTTGTTTACTAGGATTTCTCTGGCTATGGTTTGGTTGTGGGAAGAGATTATATGTTCCTTAATGGAGCCCTGTTGCTTATGCATCGTTAAACGCCTAGAAAGAGATGTTGTTGTCTTGCCTATATACTGGTTTTTTTGGAGCTTACAGTCCCCAAGAGGGCATTTAAAGGCATAGACGACGTTAGTCTCTTTTAAAGCGTTCTGTTTTGTGTCTGGAGAGTTTCTCATGAGTAGGCTGGCCGTTTTTCTGGTTTTATAGTAAATCGTCAGTTGTATCCTCTGATTTTTGTCTGTAGGGATAACGTTTCTATTAACAATATCTTTCAGGACCCTTTCCTCCGTTTTATGAGCTGTGGAAAAGAAGTTCCTGTAAAATAGTCTAATAGGGGGTATAGGTGTTGTGTTAGTTGTCTCTTCAGAGGTTGCATGGCTTTTCACTTTCCTTCTTATGATGTCTTCGACGAAACCATAACCATAAACCATAAACCAAGAAAACTTGGCTTATTAGGCAAATCGGGCCTTGCATAGTAGGCTGAGAAGTGCGTTCTGGCTACTAGGTACGACATATATATATATATATATATATATATATATATATATAATGTGTTTAGATAGGAGATGCCTCGTATGGGCCAATAAGCCTTCTGCAGCCCCTATGTTTATCCCTTATGTATCCCCCCATGTTTTCACCTTCATTGTATTATCACCTGACCTAATGCGGGTATAAAATCAACTAGTATTGTAAGATCTGTTCACTTGAGAATGAACCATGGAGGTTCGAAACGTCGTGCAAATTATACAAATAAGTGTAATACACTCTATAGTAAATCACTTCTTTTCTTCACCTTAAAAGTACGAAAATGAGTTTTGGAGAACTCCTATTTCAATTAAGCCCTGATGCTAAGAAAATAGTTAGAGGGATAGAAGCCCTAAACCAGAAAATAATAAATACAGAATATGCGGTCATATTCAATGAAACATGTTTGAAAGAAAACCTGCTGCCAGTATACACCAATATATATATATATATATATATATATATATATATATATATATATATATATATATATATATATATATATATATATATATATATATATATATATAATATATATATAAATTTTCATGTACATATTAGTGATAATTATCAAGAGAAAACACTAAGCCAGTATGCTATATAGCATATGGAAGAGGATATGTGGACAGGATATAAGCTGGAATATTAGGATAGGGTGAAGATACAGTGCCCAACCATTGGGAATCAAGAACTGATGCCATTGTTCTGTTGCCCAGTGTGAAAAATAACAACTCTGCCTAAACATGTAATGTTAGCTGATAAAAACAGTCTTATGCCTGAATATTTAAATCATTAGTATTTGTTATACAAAATTGCAGTACTGATTTTGTCAAGAATCACATTGCATAAATATTAAATGTTTAGCTCAAGAGCATTATACAATGTATGGTATAATGGAAAGCAGTAATATAAATATGTATATTATATTATGATGCTATTGTTGTGTGGTTTACTTTCAGATCCTAAACTTCCAGAGGCAAAGATCTCTGCCAAGAGTAAGAGAGAAGGAGATATTGATGTGTGGCTAACTTTCAGATCTTAAACTTCCGAGGGTTCCGACTACAGTACCGAGGTAAGATCTCCGTTAAGGGCAAGGGAGAGATGGACACATACTTCGTGCTGGGACGGAAGGCCTCCCATCAACGACAGTTCAGCCGTCATGCATCTACCTACAACTCTCTCGCTGAAGTGGTCTATGGGATGGTTCAGGCCCGAAAGAAACAGACCATTAAGAGAAGTAACGTTTACATTTAATAAGCAGTCTACATAGTGTTTATTAAAAACAAACTGATTAAAGAATTGTTGACTTTTCAAAAATATTTTAAGTTCCTGTTTTGTTACATATTTAGAAGAGAATGTGAAATTGGGGGAATATAACAGTGAAGTTGTAACGAGGAATATGACAGTACAGTTGTAGTTGTAATGGAATGTGAATGAAGCTGTAATGGGGAATATAACAGTGGTCTTAGTGTTCATGTGGCAACTACATTAAGATGATCAGCCATTGTATACTGAATATCTAATGACTGAATACAATAAGTACAGTATTCTATTACATATGAAAGTGTAGGTGTAGTTTATATAGATATGGTAGAATAAAGAATACATGTATTTATTTATTTATTTATATACAAGAAGGTACATTAAGGTTAACAGAGAACATAGAAATTAAGTTGAATTTACATTCTTGTAAAGCCACTAGCATGCATAGTGCTTCGAGCAAGAAAACATTCTTGCCCGAAATCATTAAAATTCATTGCATTGGGTGGACAGGTGGGAGACAGACCCGGGCAATACTACGTACCCCCTAGTACTGTATACATATTTATATATACAGCGGAACCTTGGTTTACGAATGCCCCGGATTATGATTTTTTTGGTATAAGAAGTCAATTTCTTTGTAAAATTTGACTCAGTGTACGAAGTTTGCCTCGGAATACAAGTGTATTGATACAGGCATGGGTTGATTGCATGGGTTCTGCTGGGTGCCGGGCAAGGCACGCTTAGTCTACCAGTGTATCCCGCCTAGTAACGATTGCACTTGAATTCTTTATGAAGAATTTCATTATTTTTCTGCTTTTTGGTTTCTGAACATAAAAGTTTTTATTATATATCAATCATGCCATGGGTCCCAAGAAAGTCAGTGATAAAGTTCAACCTAAGAAAATACATTAGTTGTGAGTAGAGGCAGTAGAGGCTGTCCCTTCCTCATTAACAAAATGTGTTCAGTATGGAAAGAACTGCGAAGTTTTGCTGAAAAAAACTTACCCAGATAAAGCTGTAGGAGACCCATTGCATTAACCTTTTTAATGACAATCTGATGTCTCATTACAAACAAGTATTAAAAACGTAGGGAAAAACAAATGTCTTTAGACAGATTTTTAGTAAGACAAGCAAGTAGTGACCCACAACCAGGTCCTAGTGGTATGCCTGAAAAATGTAGGAGAGAGAGAGAGTACTCCAGAAATGTCATCACTGCCTGATGTTATAATGGAAGGGGACCCCCTTCCAAACACTAACACCTCTCCCCCCCCCCTCCCCCCACCCCTCCTCACCATCTTCCATATGCCAATTGCAGTCCTCAGTTAAAGTTAGGTATAGTAAAAAGTATGAGTAGTATTCTGTATAAAATGTATTTTCAAGTTAATAGTTTTAGGTGTGTGGAATGAATTAATTCAATTTACATTATTTCTTACGGGAAAATTTGTTTCGGTTTACAAATTTTGGTGTGTGAACCCATCTCTTAGAATGGATTAAATTCATAAACCAAGGTGCCACTGTATGTACATTATTATATAATGTTTACAAATAATCCAATCCACACAAATAATCCAGTCCACACAAATTAAATGAGTGATCACATTTCAGTTTGTCTTGGACCCTTATCATAATTACTGGAATTTGACTGAGGGGTTCATCTCTAGGTAGGCTTGACAATGACAGGAAGCTGGCATATGTATTGTTGGGTTATTTGTATTCAGATGTGTTATTGCAACTTATTTTCTGAATATCTGTATACCTAAAATAATAATACTTTCCTCTTTGGTATCTACTCAGGTAATACCACAGTGAAGAGAGACCGACCCAGGAAAATATCTCCATCGGAGACGGGTGCCTCTACAGCCTCCTCTGGCCTAGGCAGCCGGGACTTAACGCCAGGCCTCTCCCGTCGGGGCGGGCGACTGGAGAAGACTACTTCCTCACACCACAACCTCCGTAGCCTCACCAAAGACGACCACCGTCAGGATATTCAAAGCAGAGGACATGATGAGGCTGTTTAACTGGCAGGCTCATTCAGTGATGGACTCAAGCTCTGCAGTTGAAACTGTGCAATAACATTGCTCATCAAGTGATACTGGACTGTGAAGCTATGGAAGTGAAGCTGTGATCACAAAGATCTGTACATGAGGCTGTGCAGCTATTGACCTGAGCTGCGTAGCTATGTACATTTACTGTGCATGTTTACTTACAGGTCTGGGCATTATACTGTGCAGTTGTGAACATTCACTATTCAGATATGAACATGAAGCAGTTCATTTGTGGATCCAAAGCTGTGCAATTATGTACCTTCACTGTGCAGCTATAGAAGAGAAGCTGCAAATGTGCAGCTCTGTACCTTCACTGAGCAGCTGTGGATGTGAAGCTGTGCAGCTTCACATGCAACTGGGGACACAGCTGTACAGGGTGCATCAAGAAGCTGAGGCAGTACAATGCATGAATGGGTGTCTGCTGTAGTAAGTTGTTTGGCAGACTGAAAGATAAGCTTAAAAACCAACAAACAGAATTCTGTAGTGTTTTGTACCAAGTTTACAATAAAGTTGTGAACTAAAACTTAAGTTTGATGCAGAGCAATAGATTCAACTTTGTGAAGCACAATTCATGCATAATAAACGAGCCTCGCCAGTTTAGCATAAGACGAACTAGGCTAGGGTTCATTGAACATTTACACAACCACTTACGAAACCTGAATATCTTTCCTAAATCATGGCAGCTTTGTTTACATTTATTAAACAGTTTACGAATTTCCAAGTCTTACAAGGTTGTGTATAGCAATAATAATAACCTTAGGTTGCAAAGTTTTGAAGCTCATAAACTGTTTAATAAATGTAAGTGAAGTCACCACGATTGAGGAAAGATATACAGGTTTTGTTAGTGATTGCATAAATACTTGATGAATCCTGGCATCAACGTGGCACCATTTCCTGAGTGTGTAGGCTACCCAAGCTTATCAATCTGCAGTCAGGTCAAATATTTATGTCTGCTTTACCGGAAGCTGGACCTTCCAGTTAAGATATGTGTAATACTATCAACACAAAAGCTGTCTTCCTTGAGCAAGCTTGATTATAAGGATTCAGTATACTGTACAAGGGCAAACTATATACTCAGGAAGACATGGGTATTAGGTACACTATATAGACTCAGGATGACATGGGTATGGGGTACATAGATGATTGACAGTTGAGAGGCTGGACCAAAGAGCTGAAGCTCAACCCCCACAAGTACAACTAGGTGAGTACAATATGTACCCAGGATGACAAGGGATACATTGGAATGTGATAAAGTATACACCAAGGATAATGGTTAATACATGGGCATGGGGTATATACCAAGAGAATATTGATGTAAAGAGTTCAGAAAAGGAATTAATACATTCTGGATAATATTGTGTTGTGTGTAAGAGATGGCTGCAAACATTGTTGAGAGACAGTTCTTCAAAGGCTGTTTGACAAAACACAGAGTTGTAGAGCAAGTGAACTAGGAATGACCTCGTTCACACGTGAAACAATGGTACATTAACAGTTAACAAGTTTTTACGTAACACATAATGAGGAACATAAGGAAAGCGTCACAAAAATACAAAGTATCAGCACAAAATTGTGTATCCAAGAAAATACTGAGTCAATGCAATGGAATCGACCTCTCATCCTAGTGGATATTTAATTAATTACATTTTGAAAGGCTGTGTAATACCATAATGTATAATTCTAATAACCAACATTTACATATAAAGCAGAACCAACAGTTGTAGCATCTGGTTGTACGTGTTGTATATTAGAAGATGACTATACAATGTAGTACCATTGATGCACATGTATACATGTATGTAGTGCAGGTGACATGCATGTACAAATGTATGTGCCAGTAATGTACACATACACACATCTCTAGTGCAGGTATCATACATGTACAGATGTAGGGAATTGAGATATCATTTATTGACCCATCTACATTTACTCTCTCTCTCTCCCCATTCATATTTACCACCTTCTCCCCATCTACATTCACTTTCTCTTCCCATCCATATTCACCACCTTTCTCCCCCATCTGCATTCACCTTTCTCATGCCTCTCTCATGATGGCCCTTACTCTCCCCAATAACCTAGCCCATTCCATGCCGTGAAAAAATCCAACCTCCTAACCAAACCAGAAACGTACAAACCCCAGCCACCCACCTAAACCTATCAAGTCCGATGCATAAAAAAATTTAGATATTTGTGAGCCATTACTTTTCTTAATAGGTTGCATTTGTAACGATTATCATAATGTTAAGAAAATGACCTTTTAGTCGAGCTGATGGGATGGTGACCTATGCACATGAACATGTGTAATAAGCAAGTACAGTACTTCACAGAGCACGTACATTTGTAAAAAGGAATCAAGTGTCATAAAATCAATATATTTTTATGTGCCAAATAATTATTCATTTGTATGTATATTACCTGTAATAATATTGGCAACAGAGAGTTCTGCTACTATGAATTCCAAGATTCTGTGATAATGCTGTGTTGGTTGTATCTCAGGACATCACAAGAGCAGTGCATCTGCAGTTATAACGCTGAAGTGACTATGGTGCTGTAATCAGCTCTGAATAAATATTGCCGATGATCTACAAAGTTGTGGCTGAAATCAAATGTGTTTGATATCAATATTTTTTAATAGTCACAAAATGCTTGACATTATCTTGTAGCTTGTGGTGTTGTGGCAGCAAGTTGTACCAACTTGCTGGGGACAAAGTTGAGGTGGGGTAGATGGCAAGTTTATTTATTTATTTTTTGTTTAATGTTTAGGATGTGTAATAGTTCTTAGATTACATAAATGTTGATCACTACAGAGCAGTATTAGTATAGTAAGGTATGGTATAAAGAAATGTGTATCTCTAATTATACATCCCAGCTAGCCTTGTGTATGATAGGACAAAGTGTACAGAAGTAACATGGCAAGGGTTCATACTCAGTTTTATCACATACACTAGCATACACTCATACAGAAACCTCGCCCCAGTACATGCCCCCATCCCAATACACACATCCATCCCAGCAAACCAACAAAATTATTAGAGGAAGGGGGGGGGGGGGGAAGTAAAGGACCAAAGGCAGATGGAACATGATCCTGAAAATCATATACAGTATACTAACAGATGGAATGAGATGACAAATACTGGAGCAAAAACGATATAATTCAGCTTAAGATGCCAGATATTGTTGCACTAACAGACAAAACTTTAAGATAATATTTTAAATGAGATTATATTCCTGAGAGGCTACTCAATTTGAAGATAACAGAAAAATGAGAAATGTGGAGACATTGCTGTGCTGGTGAAAGAACACCTGAAGGCATGACAGTTAATAATTGACAGCTCAGGTTCACACACTTTGAATAATTATAAAGCCAGTTTTTTATTAAAGTAATTGAATTTTCAAAATATAGTAGAATTTACAGACATTGTTTAATTATTTTGTCAACATATGTTTTCAAACTGATGTTCGTTCTGATCCAGGTACTGCTGATAACACGAAGCAATGGAATCGCAAACATCAAGAAACATTTCGTTTGGTATTTGAGAGCATTTTTGTTCAATGGCTACTCTCAATTCAGCAACTGTTGCCGGATTTGTAGGCTTGCCTGGTAACTGAGGAGGGTATTCTATGAAACCCCCTTCGTCCAATCCACCTGTTTGGCAAAATCTCATCAAGGTAGGACCCTTATATCACAATGATAGTGTTGGGGGTGCCCCATCTTGCTGAAAATAAACATCATTTGAGCTATCAGATGTTAAAGTGTGTACACATTTTTTGGGGGACAACAAGTACAGTATAAACGTAATTTTTTGGGACAAAAATATAAACAAATATTTGTAATAGGTTACATGAACAGAAAATGTAAAAACCTCCTAAGGTCATTCCTGCCTGCAATAATGGTTTTTACTCTGATTTACCTGAGGGGCCACTAAGACTCGAGACCACTGAGGGTCTCGACGAGGACAGGAGGCTGGAGGTTTGTCACAGGTCCCCCCCATTCGCCTTGACAATCCTTTCCAGGTGGACTTTAAAACCTATCAGTCTTAGCGTTTACAGCTTCAGCGGGTAGGCAGTTCCATGGGTTTATGACTTTGTGGGTGAAAAAGCATCTGTTCTCAGTCCTACTTAGGTTTGTTGAGCTTAAAACAGTTGCTCCTTGTTTCATGCTCAACAAATTAATGGTAATTAATACACTTCCATAACACGGTTGGTATATATGATATATGGGTTCCAAATATTTATACTTGCTGTACTGATGGCTAGAGTGTAGGTGTATCAGAGTCAAGTAAAAAAAATGTTGATAATGATATGACGGAATTAACTCAATATTGGTGAAAAATAAATGTTTTTATCTGGTCTACGGTGATATTTGTCCCTGTCTTTGTCCGCCATCTGTGTAAGGAAGCACATTTATGTCAACTTTATAAGATACAGTGTTCATAATATATATGTATAAATACGTCAATCTTATAATAAAGGTGTACGGTGTACTATATTAATGTGAATATTTTGTACACAGACTGAATATTTATTGTTCTGTCACAGGACTTCCAGAATTATGCTATTATTTTAATATTTACAATTGATATAAATGATGTAAGCTTAATCTCTCCTGTTTCCACAACATAAGTTGTTTTTATCCAATGTGAGAAGAAATGTATATTTTATGTACCCATAGATAAGAATGAAAGTTAAAAATAAGCAAATTATCAATAAGTCTTTAAATAGTCCTAATAGCCTAGGTATTGTCAATTGTTCCAGTAACCTAACACAAAAATAACATCACATGAAACCAACAGGCATGGCAGGATGTGCAAAACAGCCCCAATGCAATGCAGAGATGCAGTAGGTATGCAGAGAGCAAACTCTAACAACACAAAGGCCTATGACTTTTCAACACACTCCCACAACGGATAAGGGGCATAACTGTCCGGCCTCTCACAGTGTATGAGAGACCTCTTGCAACACTGTGCAAGTCCTACTGTTCTATGTCCTACATTGAGGTTTGTTGAACTTAAAACTGTTGCTTTTTGTTTGTTACATCTGACCTTTTGGAGAAATTGTCAGGATCAACATCCTTCAACTTGTTCAGTATTTTCAAGGCTTCAATGAGATCTACCCTGTCATGCCTGATATGCAGTGTCAAAAATTAGCGGCAAAAATCGCCCGATTTTTGGCCGCTAGCGGCGAAAATCGCACGGTTTTTGGCCGCTAGCGGCGAAAATCGCGCTATTTTTGGCCGGTAGCGGCGAAAATCGCGATTTTTGCCCGCCAGCTACGAAAATCGCATGGTTTTTGGCCGCTAGCGGCGAAAATCGCGCTGTTTTTGGCAGGTAGCGGCGAAATTCGCGCAATTTTTGCCCGCCAGCTGCAAAAATCGCATGGTTTCTGGCCGCTAGCGTCGAAAATCGCGCGGTTTTTGACTGGTAGCGGCGTAAATAGCGCTATTTTTGCCCGCCAGCTGCAAAAATCGCATAGTTTTTGGCCGCTAGCGGCGAAAATCGCAGGGTTTTTGGCAGGTAGCGGCGAAATTCGCGCAATTTTTGCCCGCCAGCTGCAAAAATCGCATGGTTTCTGGCCGCTAGCGTCGAAAATAGCGCGGTTTTCGGCCGTTAGCGGCAAAAATCGCCCGATTTTTGGCCGCTAGCGGCGAAAATCGCAGGGTTTTTGGCCGCTAGCGGCGAAAATCGCGCTATTTTTGGCCGGTAGCGGCGAAAATCGCGATTTTTGCCCGCCAGCTGCGAAAATCGCATGGTTTTTGCGCAAAATAGCGCGGTTAGCGGCAAAAATTGCCCGATTTTTGGCCGCTAGCGGCGAAAATCGCAGGGTTTTTGGCCGCTAGCGGCGAAAATCGCGCTATTTTTGGCCGGTAGCGGCGAAAATCGCACGGTTTTTGGCCGGTAGCGGCAAAAATTGCGCTATTTTTGGCCGGTAGCGGCGAAAATCGCGATTTTTGCCCGCCAGCTGCGAAAATCGCATGGTTTTTGCGCAAAATAGCGCGGTTTTCGGCCGTTAGCGGCAAAAATCGCCCGATTTTTTGCCGCTAGCGGCGAAAATCGCGCGATTTTTGGCCGGTAGCGGCGAAAATCTCGATTTTTGCCCGCCAGCTGCGAAAATCGCATGGTTTTTGGCCGGTAGCGGCGAAAATCGCGCGGTTTTTGGCCGGTAGCGGCAAAAATTGCGCTATTTTTCGCCGGTAGCGGCGAAAATCGCGATTTTTGCCCTCCAGCTGCGAAAGTCGCATAGTTTTTGCGCAAAATAGCGCGGTTTTCGGCCGTTAGCGGCAAAAATCGCCCGATTTTTGGCCGCTAGCGGCGAAAATCGCACGGTTTTTGGCCGCTAGCGGCAAAAATCGCTCTATTTTTGGCCGGTAGCGGCGAAAATCGCGATTTTTGCCCGCCAGCTGCGAAAATCTCATGGTTTTTGGCCGGTAGCGGCGAAAATCGCGCGGTTTTTGGCCGGTAGCGGCGAAAATCGCGCTATTTTTGGCCGGTAGCGGCGAAAATCGCGATTTTTCCCCGCCAGCTGCGAAAATCGCATGGTTTTTGCGCAAAATAGCGCGGTTTTCGGCCGTTAGCGGCAAAAATCGCCCGATTTTTGGCCGCTAATTTCAAAAATCGCCCGATTTTTGGCCGTTAGCGGCGAAAATCGCACGGTTTTATACAATACAATACAATACAATACAAAACAATTTTATTTAGGTAAGGTACATACATACAATAAATATTTACAAGGATTGTTTAACTTATAGGTATAGCTAGTACATACAATGCCTAAAGCCACTATTACGCAAAGCGTTTCGGGCATTCGGGCGCTAGCGGTTTTTGGCCGCTAGCGGCGAAAATCGCGCTATTTTTGGCCGGTAGCGGCGAAAATCGCGATTTTTGCCCACCAGCTGCGAAAATCGCATGGTTTTTGGCCGGTAGCGGCGAAAATCGCGCGGTTTTTGGCCGGTAGCGGCGTAAATAGCGCTATTTTTGCGCACCAGCTGCAAAAATCGCCCGATTTTTGGCCGCTAGCGGCGAAAATCGCACGGTTTTTGGCCGGTAGCGGCAAAAATTGCGCTATTTTTGGCCGGTAGCGGCGAAAATCGCGATTTTTGCCCACCAGCTGCGAAAATCGCATGGTTTTTGGCCGGTAGCGGCGAAAATCGCGCGGTTTTTGGCCGGTAGCGGCGTAAATAGCGCTATTTTTGCGCACCAGCTGCAAAAATCGCCCGATTTTTGGCCGCTAGCGGCGAAAATCACACGGTTTTTGGCCGGTAGCGGCAAAAATTGCGCTATTTTTGGCCGGTAGCGGCGAAAATCGCGATTTTTGCCCGCCAGCTGCGAAAATCGCATGGTTTTTGCGCAAAATAGCGCGGTTTTCTGCCGTTAGCGGCAAAAATCGCCCGATTTTTGGCCGCTAGCGGCGAAAATCGCACTGTTTTTGGCCGCTAGCGGCGAAAATCGCGCTATTTTTGGCCGGTAGCGGCGAAAGTCGCGATTTTTGCCCGCCAGCTGCGAAAATCGCATGGTTTTTGCGCAAAATAGCGCGGTTTTCGGCCGTTAGCGGCAAAAAACGCCTGATTTTTTGCCGCTAGCGGCGAAAATCGCGATTTTTGCCCGCCAGCTGCGAAAATCGCATGGTTTTTGGCCGGTAGCGGCGAAAATCGCGCGGTTTTTGGCCGGTAGCGGCGAAAATCGCGCGGTTTTTGGCCGGTAGCGGCGTAAATAGCGCTATTTTTGCGCACCAGCTGCAAAAATCGCCCGATTTTTGGCCGCTAGCGGCAAAAATCGCCCGATTTTTGGCCGCCTACGGCGAAAATCGCGCGGTTTTTGGCCGGTAGCGGCGACAATCGCGCTATTTTTGGCCGGTAGCGGCGAAAATCGCGATTTTTGCCCGCCAGCTGCGAAAATCGCATGGTTTTTGCGCAAAATAGCGCGGTTTTCGGCCGTTAGCGGCAAAAATCGCCCGATTTTTGGCCGCTAGCGGCGAAAATCGCACGGTTTTTGGCCGGTAGCGGCGAAAATCGCGCTATTTTTGGCCGGTAGCGGCGAAAATTGCGCGGTTTTTGGCCGGTAGCGGCGAAAATCGCGCGATTTTTGCCCGCCAGCTACGAAAATCGTAGGGGCGAAAATCGCTAGGGGCGAAAATCGCCGATTTATGGCCGCTAGCGGCGAAAATCGCGCAATTTTTGGCCGGTAGCGGCGAAAATCGCGCGATTTTTGCCCGCCAGCTGCGAAAATCGCACGGTTTTTGGCCGCTAGCGGCGAAAATCGCCCGATTTTTGCCCGCCAGTTGCAAAAATCGCACGGTTTTTGGCCGCTACCGGCGAAAATCGCCCGATTTTTGGCCGCTAGCTGCGAAAATCGCGCGATTTTTGGCCGCTAGCGGCGAAAATCGCCTGATTTTTGGCCGCTAGCGGCGAAAATCCCGCGGTTTTTGGCCGCTAGCGGCGAAAATCGCCCGATTTTTGGCCGCTAGCGGCGAAAATTGCCCGATTTTTGGCCGCTAGGAGCGAAAATAGCCCGATTTTTGGCCGCTAGCAGCAAAAATTGCCCGATTTTCGACCTCTAGCGTCTAAAACCGCCCGATTTTTTGCCGCTTGGGTCAAAAATCTCCCGATTTTGGGGCTGCTAGCGGCGAAAATCGCGCAATTTTTGGCCGCTCTTGCGAAAATCGCACGATTTTTGCCCGCTAGCGGCAAAAATCGCTCGAACTTTGCCCGCTAGCGGCGAAATTCGCCCTATTTTTTGCCGCTACCGGCAAAAATCGCGCAATTTTTGGCCGCTACCGACGATAATCGCGCGGTTTTTTGCCGCTAGCGGCGAAAATCACCCGATTTTTGCCTGCTAGCGCCGAAAATCGCGCGACTTTTCCCCGCTAGGGGCGAAATTCGCCCGATTTTTGGCCGCTACCGGCGAAAATCGGCCGATTTTTGGCCGTTAGCGGCGAAAATCGCCTGTTTTTTGCCCGCTAGCGGCGAAAATCGCACGGTTTTTGGCCGCTAGCGGCGAAAATCAGGCGATTTTGGGCCGCTAGCGGCGAAAATCGCGCAATTTTTGTCCGCTACCGGTAAAAATGGCGCGATTTTCGCCGGTAGCGGCCAAAAATCGGGTGAATTTCGCCGCTAGCGGCCAAAAATCGGGCGATTTTTGCCATTACCAGCCAAAAATCGGGCGATTTTCGCCGCTAGCGGCCAAAAATTGCGCGATTTTTGCTGGTAGCAGGCAAAAATCGGGCGATTTTCGCCGCTAGCGGACAAAAATCGGGCGAATTTCGCCACTACTGGGCTACTTTCGCTATTTTGTAGCCTTTTAATTTGGGCTACAAAATGTTCCACAAGGAAATGTGTGTAAATGTTAAGGTTAGATTGGTGGAACATTAATACCAATGTTTATTCAAAGGAATGTGTACAAAGAACTTAAGAGTAATGTACAATTATAGGGACAGGAGTTACACAATCTATGAAGCCTGTTATGCAAAGCATTTCGGGCAAAACCAAAATAAATGGATAAAAAAAGTTAACCAAGGTGAGAGGGGTAAAACACGTAATACTAAAGGAGAAAAGCTAACAGAAGAGGACAGTCATGGAAAATAAATGAATTTGTTTAATGTGTATGTGTTAAGATATAACGAGTGCTCGTGAAGATGGATAATTATGTGAATTAGTAGCTAAACTGGATGAAGCTGTAATGTGTAAATATTAAGACAATAGTTACCTAAGTAAGGTGATGGAAAAGTACCTATAATCTAACGTATATAGTTAAGATAAATAGAACAATGATAGTCTATTTTTTAATAGCTCATTACTGCGCTCCCATAGAGTATTTTTGGCCACCATTCAAGTGTAACATACGATGATATGTTATTTGGTTGATTTAGATACAGAGTTTAGTGGTTTTTCATATTTAGTTAGTAGTTTTGGTTACAGCAGTCAGTCTGTTGGTAGTGTCTTAGAAGTTAACATAACACAAGTCAGTCGAAGAGATTCAAGAGGGAGGATATATGACAGTGTCAGACCACGGAGGAAGAATTGTAACAGGCATTTCCTTAAGTACTTTCGTATATTAATACATCTTCAGAAGGAATTAATTCCTTCTGAAGTTTACAGTCTCCGTGGTGTAGTGGTAAGACACTCGCCTGGCGTTCCGCGAGCGCTATGTCATGGGTTCATATCCTGGCCGGGGAGGATTTACTGGGCGCAATTCCTTAACTGTAGCCTCTGTTTAACGCAACAGTAAAATGTGTACTTGGATGAAAAAACGATTCTTCGCGGCAGGGGATCGTATTCCAGGGACTTGCCCGAAACGCTACGCGTACTAGTGGCTGTACATGAATGTAACAACTCTTGTATATATCTCAAAAAAAAAAAAAAAAAAGATGCAGCCTGGAGCAGAGCAGAGCTGAGTGAGGCTGGAGTCGAGGAGGGTGGCAGCTCGATGTGGGACGAGAGTGTAGCAGCTCGATTCGGGACGTGTGTGTGGAAGCTCAAGGTAGCCAGAGTCTGGATGTCTGCTGTGTCGAAGCTGAAGCATTTTGGGGTCGGTTGGAACTGGACATGTCGAGTGCTACATTCTTGAGGTTGAAAATGTTCAGTAACTCTCAAGTGTCTGTACTGAACCACTGTAGAAATTATACTGATGATTAATCTGTTGTTGCTTTATATTTAGTTACTCAGGAACAAAAGTTCCAAAGTAGCGCGGGCTATGGTGAGCCCATAGTGGACTTACCTGGCACAGGAGCGGGGCTGTAACTTTCGATGATTATTCGCTTCTTGATTGCTTATATAAACGGACCACACCTCACCTAATACTGAAGTAATGTTATCCGTAATAATCCACTAAAGAGATATTAGTGGATTAAGTAGACTTAAACTCATCTCGTTAAGCTAAGGAGAGTTTGGAACGAGTATGTGGGGCCTCGTAGCCTGGTGGATAGCGCGCAGGATTCGTAATTCTGTGGCGCGGGTTCGATTCCCGCACGAGGCAGAAGCAAATGGGCAAAGTTTCTTTCACCCTGAATGCCCCTGTTACCTAGCAGTAAATAGGTACCTGGGAGTTAGTCAGCTGTCACGGGCTGCTTCCTGGGGGTGGAGGCCTGGTCGAGGACCGGGCCGCGGGGACACTAAAGCCCCGAAATCATCTCAAGATAACCTCAAGATATGTTATCGATATAATACAGTATAATCGCTACATAACTCCCCCTCCCAGGGAATGAAAGAAGAGAAATACAACACAAATATGAGGCTACTATTCCCTGGATCGCTGTGGAGCATGTAGTTTGGTAGCTGCAAGATGCAGGCAGCGTGCAGACAAGCTCGATGTAGCAGAAGAGAAGAATGTGCACGGTTGTTGTGTCCCGGGTCTCTGGTGAAGCCTTTAGATCCGGGGCTGAAGGGCTCGGGCACAAGGACCATAGGAGGTAATATAGGCACGTAGTCAGGACAATGAGGGAATCACTGTTAGAGCTGAATTGTCCTGGCAGTGATGTCGAAGAGTCGGAAATGCAAACTGTACATCCTGTACTGCGCAACGAAAGTCAAATAAAATAAAATCAAATTAAATGTTTACACAGGTAAAAGTACATGCAAACAAGACGAGTTACAAATATAATGTTGGATTTCTAGAAAAAGCTAGTACATACTATGCCTAAAGTCACTAATATGCAAGGTGTGGGAAAGAACACTTAGACTAAAACTTAATACTAATTGAGTTGAAAAAGAGAAAAAGGGGAGAAAAAACATGGCAGAAATCAGCAGTTATACAAGTTGGTCAACAAACAGTATTAAAAAAAAAATTAAAAAAATGTCATGTCAAAAAAGTCAAATATTGTTTGAAAATAGCAAGACATGGGTTTACATATAGGGGGTGAGGTAGGTTACATGGAGCTTATTAGGTAGTATGTACTTAGTTTTTCTCTTAAACTGGTTGAGAGGGGTACAGCCTTTGACGTGATTTGGAAGGTCATTCCACATTCTGGGTCCCTTGATTTGTAGAGCATTTCTAGTTTGGTTAAGGCACACTCTTGGAATATCAAATGGGTATTTGTTTCTTGTGTGGTGCCCATGGGTTCTGTTACAACTTTCTAGGAAGCTTTTAAGGTCAGGATTGACATTACAGTATAGAGTTTTAAATATATAGAGTACACATGAAGGGATGTGCAATGACTTAATATCTAACATATTCAAAGATTTAAGTAAGGGTACCAAGTGCTGTCTGGGGGCCAGAGTTTGATATTGTTTGCCCGAAACGCTTTGCGTAATAAGTGGCTTTAGGCATTGTATGTACCAGCTCTGTCTATAAACCTAGCAATTTTTGTAAAAATCTTGTATGTATGTACCTTACCTGAATAAATATTTTATTTTGTTCTAATAGCAGCTTTGTGCTGAGCAATTAGAGAACGTAGATAATTATGGATAATAGAACCCCAAACAAATACCATAATTGAGATAAGGATAGAGGAGAGAGTAATAGAGCGACACCAGGGCAGGGCGAGGTACATAATATCTAATCTTAGAAAAATAGCAACAGTTTTAGAAACTTTTTGCAATATTTAGAATGTGACCCTGGAAATTCAGCTTGTTATTGATGAGGACACCAAGAAATTTACTATCTTTGTTACTAATTTGGATATTATTTATTCTTAGATTAATTTGATCCGAGGATTTATTACCAAACAAAATATAGAAAGTTTTGTGAATGTTAAGGGTGAGTTTGTTAGCAGTGAGCCAAAGATGGACTGTCTAGTTCAGTATTCACTGACATTTAGAGCAAGAGGATCAGGACTGGAGAAAATGAAGGTTGTGTCATCAGCAAATAAAATTGGTTAGAGGTGTTAAGAGGCATTTGGAAGGTCAATGCAGATGAGAAAGAGGAGAGGACCAAGTATGCTGCCCTGTGGAACACCAATGTTGATGGGTAGGGTGGGAGAAATGGAATTATTCACAAACATACTGAAGCCTGTCACTAAGGTAAGACCGATGGTATTGGAGAGAGAGTGACTACCGATTCCATAATGATGTAATTTAAGAAGGTTTTGGTGGTTGACAGTGTCAAGTCTTATGTAGGTCAACAAATAAGCCAACAGGGAACTCATTTTTATCAAGAGCTGCATGTATCAAATTAATCATACTAATCAGTGCATCGTTAGTGCGTTTTTTGGGTCTGAATTTAGTTAATACTGTATATTTATATTATATATATTTGTATGCTAAATAATATATATTTTGCACATAAATACAAAATTTATACATATATATGCTAAAATTAATTTAGTTTCTACCAAAATTAGTGGCTCATCTCAAAGGGTTAAATCATGTATGGTGTAATGTGTAATTAGTATACTAATGCATCAACATTTTCAAATTGAATCTAGTGATTTCCCAGCTACATTTCCAGTATAGTAATTTCAAGCCTTGTAAAGCGAGTTAATTTCCAATGGTTTGTTAAATAGTAAGTGCAGCTGTTGTGATATTGATAAGTAGTCTGACAGGTTAACTAAGCCTTAGTAAATCTAATTTGAATTAGAGTAAATTTAAACAAGTATAACTTTAAATGGTTTAAAGAAATTAAAGATCAGATGTAGTTAAAAATAAAAGGCAATGGTGTGAAACTAGAATTCTGGTTAATCCTAGACACCTGTCATGCCATAACTATTGGATGGTTGCAAAACCTCCCAATGAACTTAGTAAAGTTATTCAGCTTTGATAATCTTGGCACAACAAGTTAAGGCAGGTGTCATGATTATCAAAGCAGAATAACTTTGCAAGTAATTTCATTGGGAGGTTTTACAACTACCCAGTAGTTTTGGGGTAACATAGGTGTTATGTTAACCAGAATGGTAGTCACACCATTACCTCAGTAACAACTACCCAGTAGTTTTGGGGTAACATAGGTGTTATGTTAACCAGAATGGTAGTCACACCATTACCTCAGTAGTTTCTAGATCACACCTGTGATCTAAACATTACTGGTTCCTAAACCAGTAGTGTAATAATTTGATCAAGAGTAAATAAACTTAGGGACAGACTGATAGACATTTTATTATCCAAAACATACAGAGCAGAACTAAGTATCTTGAAAATTGGCTCCAGCATGTCATTCCCTTCCATATATTGGTCCTCCTTGTTTAGTAGTATGTTCAGTAATGAACATCAGTTACAGTTGTTCCTGTAATAAACGGACTGTTTATTACACTGGACTGTTTGTCCTGTTTGGTCAAACTGGATGCATGTTGTACCTGTGACCAGTCCCTCTTAAACCATGGGTACAGTTTGACCAAACAGGACATTTGGTGACACTGTACCCATGGTTTAAGAGACTGGTCACATGTACAATATGCATCCAGCTTCACCAAACAGGACCTAGACAACTAATGTACTTGCTGTTTAGTTATTACAGGAACTAACATGTTCATTACTGAACATTCTAAAACAAGATATGCTACACAGTAGCATCCAATACTTGCATCAAACTGAAGAAAATATTTTTATATACTTCAACATTGTAGATGTTCTCACCCTCTACACCTGTCAGATAAGAAGAGTAAACATTAGAAACCATCCATCTCAGAATGCAACAATCCTTAACTCAAGTTATACTTGGGAGCATGTTATTTAACCACTAACATTTGTTTAGTGTCAATACTTTAGCATTTTGCAGCCATCTTTCATGTTTTACAACTACCTGTAGTAGTTTAACAAAATACTGTTAAGCAAACATTGTCAAGTTAATAAATCTATCAAGTAATATTCACTTAAATTATGACAACACTTTACCAAGTGTATTTACTAAACTTACATCTGTTCAACATTACCCACCTTTAAAAATAGCTCATCTATTAAACCATGGAAAAGCCAGCCAACCAACCATTTCAATGATGTAGCCCTTGAACCAGCTAGCCAGCCACAACCATCTTAAATGATTACAACTTTTTATAATCTTCCAAGCAAAAAAGTGTTGATGTGATGACTTATATTGAATTTTGTAACTAGCTCATCAAGATTGTAACTTGCTTAGCTAAATGAATTGTGGGGTTCAGTCCCTGAGCCCATTATGTGCCTCTGTAACCCTTTCTACTACCGCCCACAAGATGGGTATGGGGTGCATAATAAATGAACTAAACTAACTAAACTAAACTAACTTCCAAGCAAGTGCACAAGACAGAGGATTGATCAGGTGCCAATCTAACTGTAGCCTGTTCACCTACCAGTGAACGGGTACCTGGTGGTTAAATTATTTATGAGGTCATTGAGGGGGGGAGTGGGGGTGTTAAGCAAGTAATTATCAAAAGGAGGCACCAAACTGAAAAGGCTGTGTGGGGGGTGTCAAGGACCTGCCCCAAACTATGCATGCTAGTGCCTCTCGTATGCAATAATTTAATCTTCTCAGGGTCCCTGCCACAAACTGCCAGGAGTTTGCATTTCTTACTACAAAGAAAAACAAGAAAATAGTCAATAGATCACATGCCCTATCCTTGTACTCTGCCCAACAACCCCATCACTGCCATTAGTAAAATACACAGCAAAGAATATACACCATCCACCTTCAGAAACTAAAGACCAACTAGCATTATGCTGCAGGTAAAGATGACCATGGCACCCATCAGTGATTTTAAACTTTAATCTATGCTGAAACATTCCATTCACCTGGGCTCAAACCCTGGACCCCAGGCGAGTCAAAACCTCTCAAACTACCAGTAGCCTATTAATGAAATTAAACCGAAACAACGGGCAGAAACAAATGGGCAAAGTTTCTTTCACCCTGAATGCCCCTGTTACCTAGCAGTAAAATAGGTACCTGGGAGTTAGTCAGCTTTCACGGGCTGCTTCCTGGGGGTGGAGGCCTGGTCTAGGACCGGGCCGCGGGGACACTAAAGCCCCGAAATCAACTCAAGATAACTCAAGAAACCATCCTGCTGCCAAACTATTTTCCACTTTGCCAGCAGGATGCCGCTTCTAAAAACATTCCTTATTAACACATGGGTTCCACAGTTCGTGTCTTGTACAACCCACATGAATGGAATATTTTCACACGTGTAGATGACAATTTATAACTTAAAAGGTATCCAAAAACTGACAGCACCAGACTAGGTTCCTAATCTCCATTTTGATCAATGATTCATTTAAAGCCCTTACATTGGTGACCTTCCATTAGTAGCTCATTTTGCAGATGAACTACATTCCTAAGATGTTTACCAAACCACTAGAAATTAGAGGCAACATTTTGGACCATTATCAAGTCTGATGAGACAAGGAAGGTAAGGCAAGAGTAGACAAATCTGAGGAAGAAAAGAGCAAGACAAAAGGTACAGAAGGTGAAGTGTAGTAAGTGGTGTAAGAATGTCTCATCTCTACGAAATATCACCTATTCAACTTCTAGCATGGGGGGTTTAGTAAACCTGCTCATTTTCCTTACTCTGCACTACAGCATGACAAACTCCCCAGAGGACTAATAATGAGTCATTTATACAACCTTCCCCCCCCCCCCTTCCATTATAAAGTACTAATATACAGGAATCTCAATCCTTCAGCAAACTAGGTTACATTTCCAGCATACTCCACTTCATAGTTATCTATGGCAAATAAGTAATTATCAAGAAAGAACCAACTTGGGAAGGCTATGTAGCACCAAATGTGCTGAATGATCAGAGGGAGCCAAATATCATTAAGGATGCCAATATGAAAAACAAGGCAAATTATATCAAAAGTATCCAATTCACCAAGAATTGTACCGAGGGCGAAGAGACCGCGAGGGACGGTTGGAAAGCAAGACGCACTTGTCCTGGAAGGCTTGACAGTCAACAAGGATATGCACGACTAAGAGGGACAATGCAGTTTACATGCATTGTTGTTCGTAAGCTTTTGACCATTTCTCCCACCATCCCTAGACACATATGTACTCTAGGGTCTCTAGAATTTTATGTCAATTTTTTTACAAACCTTGCACCATTTTTTAATGTTTCACACATTTCCTTATGAAATAAGGACCCATTTTCACCCTTAGTATCTTCTCTGCAATTTGCTTTTTTAATTTAAGTGCACCTGGTTCTCTTAAATTTGTTCACTATCCCTCAAATTTTTTCTAGCCTCTTCACCCTTTCATACTTTCTCACTTTGTAGCACTGGCATGTTTGAGGGTTTGACCCTCTTCCTATATCCATTCATTTTTTGGAGGATCTGTCCCTCTTGCAATTTCTAGAGGAAATCACATTACCTTCTTAGGATGATGCCTTAAATTTTGTGCCCCATCATTTTAAAATAACATTCATTTCTTTCTTGCCAATCAAATTCATTACAATTTTCCAAGTTCCCCCAAATTTATGTTCTTACAACTTTAATTTCCCCTCTTCTAGATAATCCATTGCATACTTTATTCCCAAAAGAACATTGTCCGACCTCCCAAGGGAGATGAGGTACAGTACTAAAAATTCCCTTTTCTTGACGAGTATCAAAACTAGCACGGAAAGAACTGCTCCTTATGGCTCGCTGAACATGTTTGAACAAATGTCTAGGACAACATTACAAATCTATAGGTCCAAAACTGTCCTACATTCATAGGCCTCCCAGTATGTAGACTTGGAGTTTAAGTCACCAAGTACCAACATCTACAGTATCTTCATCTGCTCTTGCTATAATCTGAAAGATTGTTATGAAGCCCTCAAGTTTATCATCTAGTGCCTCATTGTCCACAAATTGCAAGAGTTTTATGCCTTTCATCAGTTAAGCCAATTACAATTTTAGTGCTATTCTGGCAACTTTGCATGCATTGGACAATTATTCAATTTATTTAAATTATCATCCATTTAGGATTATCAAGGGTTTACATGGCCCCTTTTCATCCTGCCAATTCCACTGTAGTTGCAGACATTATCTTTGCAAGACCTTCTGCTACCCAAACTTTTATATTACTTACCTAGATGCTCATTTTCTTTGCAACCAATAATTAGCATGGACCAATTCACCATCTTGCACCAGCTCTGGTTTTCATTTCTTCCTTAGGCTAATGTTTGGTTTTCCCAATGGCTGCAGTTACTGGCTTCCTCTACCACTTTCCTTCTCCATGGCCACTTTAGTACAGTATTGCAGAGTCTGCAGTACCCTTGAAAGAAAGGATGATGAAATCTTATGTCTAAACCCAAATTAAATCTTAAAATTAAGATTTACCCATGTACTGAGAAATTAGTAAACAAGCAATTTATAGCATGGTCAAGAGCCTGGGAGTTACATCTACAAACTTCAGGAGTTGGGTAAGTTTCCAAGTACAGTACAGTATTGGAGACAAGATGACAATAAGCACCAGTAGCATTTGAAACAAGAGCTGCAGTGAATCAGATTATGAAGATTGTCAAAATATGTTCATAGCAAGAGACTAAGGGTGTTGGCAAGATTAAAGTTTAGGTATAATGGGGGCCATCACCTATTTAACTCTACAATCAACTGCAATTACATTTTGCTATGAAGTCTGGTTTTCAGTACACAATTTCATAAAGCTTCCCTTCCTAGGGAGCCATACTAGTTTGGCCAAACATTTAATTGCCTCTAGGGATTTACTAGAGTATTTTCTAATCACTGGCTAGTACCAGTTTCTACCCACCATTAGGTTACATTAATAGGGGATTTTTTTTACCTCTAATTTGAGAACCACATTTCAAATTTTAACACCCTTATTGTACAACTATACACCCTTGTATTTCTATTTACAATGAGAAATTCAGATTCATATAGGAACACAGCATGTACAAACAATTTATAATACAATCAACTTATAACATTCTCTTCAGGAATAAGGTTCACTTGCCAGTTTACAAGTAGACTTACTGGTACAGTACCATTATATACTTTCAGCCATCACAATTTTCTATCCAGATTGCTGGAGGAAATGAGTTTGGCAACTAATAGATTTAGTCACCTAGCATATAATTTCAAGAAGACCTTAGCCCTAAACACAAAGTAGCTAAAAAAATTATGTAGCCTGGGAACTCAAATTCCAGTAACCATGCCTGATATCGTGCATGCATGATTACATGCAAGATGGGCAAGTCAGTAGTCCAATAACATTGCCTATGCTACAGCCTGTCCTTCAGATAAGTTTGAAGATTAACTATTGGGACCCTAACCAATGGTCCCACGAATAGAAATCTTAACAGCCCGTTAATTTAGCAAGCAGCTTTAAGACAAATAGTTTAACATTTGATAATTTTACGTCAAAAGTTGCATCATCCACGATCGCTGGAGGTGTACACTGCTTTTTACTGAAGCAAGCACCATTTATGACACCCCCCCCCCCCTCCCCCCTACATGAACACTACTGTATGTACTTTGTACACTTTACAGTCACATCCTTTATGTAAAGCCAATCTAGCAATTACTAGACCACAAGAAAGTAACGTTAACTATCAAGACGTACCATCTATTTTAACTTAAGAGGGCTGTCAAACTACCAATAATAGGGTTCTATTGGGCTATTTTAATTAACTTTCTATTGCATAGTTAATTATGCCCTTTAAACAGGAAGTATAAAGCACAACTGGATCAGTCCCTCATTCAATTAAGGCCAATTACAAATTTTCTGGGGGATTCAGTCCCGAGCCCATAACGTGCCTAACACTTTCCATTACCGGCCATAGTAACAGTCTGGGGTGCATAATAAATTGAACTTTAAAATATACAATACTTTATAGAAGTAAATAAACTTCCACCCGTTTAGTAATTCTGCTTGGCGCAGGGTTCCGTAGTATCACACTTCCCCGTTGCCAGAAGTCCCCAGCAAAGAGGGCCATACCCACAGCAGCCAGGGATGGCCCTGTCCTAAGGGGGGATAGGGAAGGCTACTTTAACAGGCATGCCTTAAGCGTATGCAACCATAGCTTAGCCTTTATGCAGGATGCCTGAAGTCAGTGGTACTGTAGGTGCCATCTGCTGGCATATACAGCCTTCCTTCAAGAAGGGAGTCAGCTTGAGGGTACTAGGATATTACACCACTCGCTGGAGGAGTGGTCACCGCATACCCAATCTCTAACCCCATTTCCGATCAAAGTTTGTAGCGTCTTACCTTACATCCGTCTTACAGCACCTCGTGCCCAAGGTCATGCTCTTAAGAAAGGTGAAAAGTAACCAAACCACCTACAGTGTACTGGGTTCTATGCATGTAAATCAGCCACTAGCTAAAGATGAGAGGAGGAGGAAAAGTTAATTATCTTAACAGCAAAATAAAATTATAATCTATGCTATTTTCTGCCAATCTTTAACTGAACTAAAAGTTAGGCTAGTGTATATTCCATACACAACTAGATCACCTGTAGTGGCAGGGTTTACTAATAAAATTGGATTCTTTCAAAAAGAATATGAAGACCAATTAGCCAAGGACAATCATAAAACCCATAGGTGCACCAGGATAAAGACCAGAGGGATGCAAATTAAGCATTAGCAGAACACTGGAAGGTACTGGGATAAAATTGTGTAAATATGAACCCCTTATGAAGGAAACTGGCCAAATTACAAGGAATTTTATATTAAGAATTAGGAATTTCATATTCTTTGTAACCAGAATAAGAATGAATACTCTGGTTGTAGTACCATCCATCCATCCCCCAGGAGACGGGTGGAAGGGGGCCTGGGTGAAAACACAGCCCGTCCTAAGATTTTACAATGTCAAGAAAGTCGTTCTAATACTTGTCCTAACCTACCTACCCAAAACGGGACAGTACTGTATGCCAATTCTGAGAATCAACCGGACATTAACTAGACTGTATAAAAGTGGGCCAAAGGCTAACTAGGACCCCAAACCAAAGGGAATTGAAGGAGGGAAGGTCGTCTTATAGCACAATATTAAATACTAGCAACAAATAGTCTTTACTGGAATAGTTTAATAGTTGCCACGATTGGACAGAGCCCAAGCTGGGTGTGCAGATGTGGCAAGATTTGGAGAGTCAGGGGTATCAAGGACACCAATTTTGCAGCATCAGTAGCCTGGTGGTTGGGGGTGCTCTGCTGGAGCAGTCCCTCCCTCCCCCAGTGATGTGTTCTACCTCTTGCAGTAGAAATAGTTTCATAGCCTAGTTAAAATACCCATAATTAACAATTATACAAGCCAATGTTTAAGGCTTAAGGTTTAGTCATCAGCACAATGTTAAGGGAAAGCTATACGCTTGTAAGTACCTGTACTATACATCCAAGTCAACTAAGCTTCTGTAAATTTTACTTTACAACCATTAACATTACTTTTAACTATTAAATAGTTTAATAAAATAAATTACTACCTTATGGAAGTACTTTTGTTACCATATATTAACTTAATTATTACAAGATTAACTTCAATGCAAGTTACTTTCTGCAAGTTACTTTTACAAACATGGTATTACAAGTGGTTATGTAACTATACTATACTTTAAAGTTAAAAGTAAAAATCCTACATTATTAAAAGTCCCCACTCTAGGGTACACTTCCTTCATGCACAGGAAAGTCTTAACCTATACCCGCTGAAGTTGGCATTGTTTTTGTTTTAATCAACACAATGTGAAGCACAGTTTCTCTTCCTGCCAAATTATAAGAGCATCCATCTTTGTTGACCAGACCAAATAGGCCTGGTTAAGAGACCAGGCCACGGGGATGTTATTTCCCAAAATCAATGCAAGGTAATCACAATGTAGTCAATGGGTAGGGGGTGGCCCCCTCTCAACCTCATGAACCAAGGGACATGAACACAAGGCAGCCCCACAACCATGATTCATAGGTGTGGAAGACTAGGGTGGGCATTGACAACCAGGGTACACAGTATTTAGACTGACCCTAGAACACTAGTAAGTTCCAGCTCATGCGCTATGGAAAAAATGAAAATATAAAAACGGAAACCACGTACAAAACTCAGGCAAATCATGACAGAACGAAAAGGTAATGTAAAGGATACGGGTGTACTCATGTCGGAAGACCTTACCTTTAAAGAACAATAAAGTAGCCGTCACAACTGCAAGAAAAATGACAGGTTGGATAACAAGAACTTTTCACACTAGAGATGCTATACCGATGATGATACTTTTCAAAACGCTTGTGCTCTCTAGAGTGGAGTACTGCTGCACAATGACAGCCCCTTTCAAAGCTGGAGAAATTGCTGACCTGGAGAGCGTGCAGAGATCCTTTACTGCTAGAATCCACTCAGTAAAACACCTAAACTATTGGGACCGACTAAAGAGCCTAAATCTGTACTCCCTTGAGCGCAGGCGGGAGAGAGATATAATAATTTACACGTGGAAAATGTAGAGGGGCTGGTCCCAAACCTGCACACAGAAATAACATCACACGCGACCAGAAGACATGGCAGGATGTGCAGAATACCCCCGTTGAAAAGCAGAGGTGCAACAGGTACTCTGAGAGAACTATCAACATCAGAGGCCCGAGACTGTGCAACACGCTTCCGCTACACATAAGGGGCATAACTGGCCGATCCCCTCACAGTGTTCAAGAGAGAACTGGATAAGCACCTCCAAAGGATACCTGATCAACCAGGCTGTGACTCATACGTCGGGCTGCGAGCAGCCGCGTCCAACAGCCTGGTTGATCAGTCCAGCAACCACGACTTCAAAAAATTACCAGCAGGTTGACCTCCCGTATCTTCTTGTTGATAGTAGGTACAGTTTGCATGAAGGGTTTGTCCTCCCGATGACTGCACCAGTACTGATGATGTTGGACGCGTTGAAGATGATCGGAGCTACCAAGGTGCTTGTTGCGTTGTGCTGTAGATAGAGGAACGGTGATTAAAACAGATGTGTGTGTTAGAGGGAGACTTGCCGCACTGTAGGGCGGTGTGTTGTGTTTATGGCGTCAGCTGATCCTTGGTGTTGCCACGAAGCATTTTTTTTTTCTTTTTTTTTTGAGATATATACAAGAGTTGTTACATTCTTGTACAGCCACTAGTACGCGTAGCGTTTCGGGCAAGTCCTTAATCCTACGGTCCCTGGAATACGATCCCCTGCCGCGAAGAATCGTTTTTTCATCCAAGTACACATAATAATAATAATAATAATAATAATAATTTTTATTTAGGTAAAGGTACATACATAAAGAGATTTTACAAACTTTGTTGGCTTTATAGATAGAGCTAGTACATACAATGCCTAAAGCCACTATTACGCAAAGCGTTTCGGGCAGGAAAAAACACTAATGACTAAAGCTTAAAACTAATGGGTAAAAAGAATAAAATGTGTTGAGTACAAATAAAAATAAAGGTAAAAGAGGAGGGAACATTGTTGAAAAAACAGCACAAATACAATTACAAATTATTATAGAAAATTACATTCAAGCAGCGTTGATTTGAAAAAAAAAAAAAAAAAAATACATGGGTTGACAACAGAGGGGTAAGGTAGGTTACAGGGAATTTATTAGGAATAGCTTCGTTTTTAACTTAAACTGGTTGACAGAGGTACAGTCTTTAACATGGTTGGGAAGGTCATTCCACATTCTGGGCCCCTTGATTTGTAGAGCATTTCTGGTTTGATTAAGTCGTACTCTAGGAATATCAAAACTGTATTTATTTCTGGTGTGGTGCTCATGGGTTCTGTTACAACCTTCTATGAAGCTTTTGAGATCAGGATTGGCATTATAGTTTAGCGTTTTATATATGTATAATACACATGAGAGAATGTGCAGTGACTTAATGTCTAACATATTCAGAGATTTGAGTAGGGGTACCGAGTGATGTCTGGGGCCAGAATTGGATATTGTCCTAATAGCAGCTTTGTGTTGAGTAATTAGTGGACGTAAGTGATTTTGGGTAGTAGAGCCCCAAGCACAAATACCATAGTTGAGATATGGATAGATAAGGGAGTAATAGAGAGTCACCAGGGCAGGGCGAGGTACATAATATCTGATCTTAGAAAGAATGCCCACAGTTTTTGAAACTTTTTTTGATATGTTTAGAATGTGTCCCTGGAAATTCAGCTTCTGGTCAATGAGAATGCCAAGGAATTTGCCATCTAATTTGTTACAAATTTGGGTATTGTTTATTTTGAGATTTATTTGATTAGAGGATTTATTGCCAAACAGAATATAGAAAGTTTTGTCAATGTTAAGGGTGAGTTTGTTGGCAGTTAGCCACAGATGGACTTTATTTAGCTCAGTATTTACTGTGGCATTTAGAGCAAGGGGATCAGGACTGGAGTAAATGAAGGTTGTGTCGTCAGCAAATAGAATTGGTTTGAGGTGTTGGGAGGCATTTGGAAGGTCATTAATGTAGATGAGAAAGAGGAGAGGGCCAAGTATGCTGCCCTGGGGAACACCAATGTTGATGGGTAGGGTGGGAGAAATTGTATTATTCACAGAAACACATTGGAGCCTGTCAGTAAGGTAGGATTTGAGGTATTGTAGGGAGTGTCCTCTGACACCATAATGATGTAATTTAAGAAGAAGGTTTTGGTGGTTGACAGTATCGAAAGCTTTACGCAGGCCCACAAATAACCCAACAGGGAACCCATTTTTATCAAGAGCTGTATGAATCGAGTTAAGCATACTAATAAGTGCATCGTTAGTGCTTTTTTTGGGCCTGAAGCCATATTGGCAAGGGCTAAGTATATTGAGTTTGGCTAGATATGAGTAAAGCTGCTTATAGATTAGTTTTTCAAAAAATTTTGACAAGTTTGGCAGGATTGATATAGGTCTGTAGTTGTTAACATCTGTGAGATCACCACATTTGTGGACAGGCGTTACTCTCGCTTTTTTTAGAATATCTGGAAAGGTTTGGAGTTCAAGTGACTTGTTGAAGAGCAAAGCAATAGCAGGGGCTAAAGATCTGGAGGCTTTTTTGTAGATTAAAGTTGGTATCTCCTCAAGGGCATCAGACTTGGTTTTGCTAGACACAAATACAACAAAATTATTAAGGATGGTAACAGAGTCCATTTCATGTGGTCTCCATCTCATGTTGGCCTCCGAATGCATGATAGAGCTGATAAGTTAGCCAAAGAATCTGCCTTTAAAGGAGCCGTCGAGTGTAACCTTGGATTGTCAATGAGCAATCTGAGAGCAGCAGTACACCGAGAACTTCAAGATCTTGTAGATCTGAGGCAAAGTGAAATTGACACCAGTAATTCCATCTATCATCATACTATCATGCAAGAGGAGCCACACATCTATGGATCATCCAATAAAATCAGCAGACTTCTAGATGTTACTACTGCTCGGCTTAGACTCGGTTACAAGTATCTCTGGGAATTCTCATTATCTGCTGATGTAGACCTGACCAAATGTAAACTGTGTCAACAAAGTTATTCGCACACCCTCCGTCACTATGTGATGGAGTGCGAAAAGATACGTGAATTTAGAGACAATTCTATAACCAATGTTCCAGCGATGTGTCAATATTTCATTCAAAATGATCTGCTACCAGAAATTTTAGCCAAATATCCCCAGTTTGCTAACTGTAGGTAGTAACTGAGTGATTGTAACCTATCCACCGCTGCCCACTGGATGGGGGACGGTGTGCAGGACAAACATATAAATTGTGACACTAGCTCTCCACATATGTCAGTTGCTTAATTTAGAACCTGTACTTGAGGTCGATCTCGAACCCATTGTTGATGTGATGACTTATATTGAATTTTGTAACTAGCTCATCAAGATTGTAACTTGCTTAGCTAAATGAATTGTGGGGTTCAGTCCCTGAGCCCATTATGTGCCTCTGTAACCCTTTCCACTACCGCCCACAAGATGGGTATGGGGTGCATAATAAATGAACTAAACTAACTAACTAACTTGGTTTTAAGGGAAAGGATTATCTCATTGACGTCAGTGGAATTAATAGGCTTTAGGTACAGAGACTGTGGATAGTTCCCTGTAAGATAGTCCTTAATGTCAGTACTGGAAGATGGAATATCATTACCAGGGGATGAACCAATGGAAGAGAAGAACCTATTGAACTCAATAGCAGAATCAGAGGCTGAAAGCTGACCATCGTTATTAGACAGGAGAGTCGGTTTGTTATTTAAAGACTTCTTTGATCCCAATATTTGTGAAATTGTTCTCCAAGTTTGTTTAATGTTGCTCTTTATTTGGGTAAATTTATCTTCGTAGTATTTAGTTTTGGCTCGTCTAATTATCTTAGATAGCAATAATGAGTAATTCTTTGAGAATTCTTTGGAGACAATTCCTAACCTATACTTCTTCTCAAGGTCATGTTTTTTATTAATAGATTTAAGTATTCCCTTTGTAAGCCTGGGATTGTTAAGCCTTTTGGTTGTGACTTGTTTTGTAAGCATAGGACAGTGGGTATTATAAAGGCTAAGAGTTTTTTGAAGATTGAACTGCTAGGTTGATGTCCTCTATGTTACCTAACTCGGACTCCCAGTTGACATTATCAGTAGCAGTTATAAAATTGTCTATAGCAGTTTCATTGTGTAGTCTAAAACGTATCTCTCTTGACTCAAGAGGTGGTTTGCTAATGTTAGTTAAGAGAAATGTGGGGTAATGGTCTGTAGTGCTATCGGTGATTATTCCTGAAGTAAGCGGAAAGGTTATGTTTGTCCAGATGTGATCTAGAGTCGTGGCAGTGCTATCAGTGATTCTAGTAGGTCTAGTGATTAAGGGTATGAGGAAGCAGGAATTCATACAGTTGAGGAAGCTAACAGCAGTAGGGTGTTCTGGCTCGCAGAGGTCAATATTAAAGTCCCCTGCGATAATTAGGTGGTTTTTGTTCAGTCTGTTATCAAGTATTAGATTTCTAAGGTTTGAGTTGAATTCGGACACATCAGTGTTAGGAATTCTATAAACTGCACCCACAGACAGGATAGACTCGATCGGCACCCTTGACTCTGAAGCTGGCGAAGATATACTCCCCATAGCAGTCTCTAGTTCTAATTTCTTTTAAGCATGTTAGTTCTTGGTGGTAGTAAAGAGCAGTGCCACCACCTCTCTGAAGTTGAAGACAGTTGTGAATTGCTGAGTAGTTAGGCATGTTAAAGAGTTGAGTAGTATCCTCTTTCAACCATGTTTCAGTAAGTATAATAAAAGAGAATTTGTTGTCAATAGCTTCAATCAAGGCACTAACATCATCGAAGTGTTTACCTAGGGATCTAACGTTCAAATTGATTACAGAGATATTGTGATTATGAGTTAATACATTGTTTACATCATGTGCTGCAAAATATCTGCAATTTAGATCATTAAAGTGATTATTGTCATAAATAGTGGATAAGAGGTTAAGTTCTGGGTCTATACTTGACTGCATAAAAAAAGCAGATTGCAGGACAGGACAACATTTTACTGTTGCGTTAAACAGAGGCTACAGTTAAGGAATTGCGCCCATTAAATCCTCCCCGGCCAGGATACGAACCCATGACATAGCGCTCGCGGAACGCCAGGCGAGTGTCTTACCACTACACCACGGAGACTGCAGTTGTCTGTGTTTAGCTGTTGGTGACGCCAGGTATAAATGTGGCACGGGTCAGATGTGACCCAATTTGTTGGTCGACTGGAGATATTTAGCCAGTGCTTTGACTATTTGGTATTTTTCTTGTAACGAGTGGTCACCGCCTCCTAATATATGCTCGATGGTAAAGGGTATTTTAAGTGAGATAAAGACTTGTTTGAAATTTACTCTGGCACTATAGTGTCGGAAGCAGTGCAGGAGATAGTGTTCGACTGTTTCAGGCACCTGACAGTGAGTACAGAGTTCGTTGATGTCTGTTCTGTACTTAGAGCTGTGTGCTGCTAGTTTGGCGTGTCCCAGCCTTAATCTG